AAGTTTTATCAGAGAGTGAATTCCAAAGTTTGGGATGTAGCTCTAGATGCTCTAATATAAATTTTATTCCAAAAGTATTAAAGATCATTCTAAGAGAACATATAAATTATTCTTACATGACATCACCTTAGGATTCTGCATTGCAAGCCTTGTTCTCTCTCTGATCAGCTGAAGGGTTTCTGCAATATTTGTACTAATAATTAGAGTATGGTAATCATAAGAAATATAGAAAATTAACACAAAAGGCAGACTGGATGAGCATATCATTACCAGGACTGTGCTTCCTGCCTTTGTTCCATGGCGTGTTCCCTTTATTTGCTTTAGAAATCCTCATTCGCCTTAGCCTCTCCCTCTCATCCAATTCTGCGGAATCTTCACTTGAAGATTCGGGTTCAACTGTCCAGGGACTTGAATCCGTGCCAAGCTGTGAATTGTTGTAACCCATGCGTGCATCCTCATTCTGAACTGAACTTTTGGATTCAAGAGTAGCAACTGCCTTAATGAGGAGACTACCCTTTGGGATGTTGATGTGCCCCAAGTTGAAGTTCAACTTTTTAGGTATGTGAGAAGATTTCCAAGCAGAGGACAGTTTCTTGTCACTTCCAAAGGTGAATGGACTTGAAATTACTTTACCATGAAGAGGGGTTTGAGCCCTCAGTGTACCCAGATGATTTTGGAACGCAGGCTGAGCAACAGCAATCTCTGCTAACAAACACAGGAATATAACAGATACCCTCAATTGCTCAACAAATATCAGCCAGAGGTCTTTCTTTGTATGAAAATCAGACCTTTGACAATTGAACAATTTACACACACAATCCAAATTCTTTAACAAAGGGTTGTTGAGCAATTCTTGAAACTAACATCCAAACATATCAGGCAAGAATCTTTGCATAAAAATCAATCCTTTGACAATTGAACATTTACACACACACACACACACAGAGATAAAATGTATCTTGCCAAACAGTCCAAATTATTTAACAAAGGGTTTTTAGGCAGTTCCTTCAAGTAATATCACAAGTTAACTACAGCACGTGCCTTGGAAATGCATTCAGTGACATGGGGAAGTCATTTTTCACCACACATTGATTAAGTTATAAGGAGCTCACTCAATTCAACACAATGGGTTTCTAAAACTGTAAGCAAACATATTTAAAAACCAAAAAATAAGCAAAGAAAGAGAGTGAATTTGAGTACCAAGTGAAGGCATGGGAGCTCATTCAGCCAATTCCAAACTCAACAACAGCTCAGTAGAAACAGCGAGCACACGCAGCATTTCAGGACGAGTCACTCAACGAGAAAACCAGAGAGCAAAAGAAGAAAACTCAGAGGTGTGGTTTGAGGTTATGGGTATTGGCTAGAAGAGACAGAGACTCTGTAACTGCGAGAGCCACACAGAGAGGCACACAAAGACGTCTGATACTAGTTGCAGGAGATGGATAACGAATGAGCTCAAAATCAACCGCAGCCCATTTGATATTTGATATTTGCTTTGCTACCTGTGTGGATTGTTGGCCTTCGCTTCTGATATTTTTGTGTGGGCTTGTAGTTTGTAGCCATTTTGTATCCAAAAGTGGGCTTGTAGTTCTAGCCCATTTGATTGACTGAATTACTGTAGTCCTATCCTATTTTTGATCAGCATGGAATTAGATTGTTGTAAAGAAAATAAATAAATAAAAATAAAAAATTGGGGTGTGTGACCGTAACACCATGCGGTATGCAAATGTGGTATTACTAACCAATCTACTCAAGTTATAATTGGCCATGGGCGAAGAGAGCTTTGCAGTCTAGTATTAACAAACGTACATATGTTATATTTTAAGTGAATTAGTAACACAACATCGGCCTGTTTGCATTGTATATCAGATACAATCAATAATTTTTCGAAGCACGAGTCCAATTTAAGGCTCTAAAATCTTAGAACATAGACCGAAGGTGGAAAGGCAACATCAACCATTATTGTAAAACTTCAAGAGATGAATGAAAGGTTTTGAGATTGTTCTATCATACCTGTTTATCCTTGACTAGTCCTACCACTCCACCAAGATTCTTTGCAACTTGAATTTGGTCTCCTAATGGAAAAATTCAGCGTCACATGAATGTTTAAGCAACAAGTCAAGTATTTGAACGGCATACAACACAAGGATCATTAAGGATTATTGCATGTGTATTGTATTATAAGCGTGGTGAAACAAAGACTTCAAAATGTTTGAATGAACGGTTGGTCGCCCGCGGTCACGGGCTCCTCACTTTGGTTACTTGTGTTCTACAAAACCCATGTTTTCTTTCTTCTTTTTTTCCCCCATGCATTTTGGATTTTAGTCATATGTTTCCTTCTGCTTCAATTCGAGGACTAAGTTGTAATTAACTTTCTGATGGCTACATTCATTTTGAGGATAGACAGACAGATACAATCCACCTCCAAAGAATTATTGACCATCTAACTTATTTCCAACGCAGCCTCTCCTTCTGGAACAATTCAATCCTCCTCTCTATCCCTCTGCCAGAAAAAGTCAAAAGTCAACTTCAACATTCTTGAGCACAAATGCTATTCCAAACTTCCACTCAACAGCAACACCAAACAAAGCTAAAAGATTAACCATGCACGCTGGGTGGCTCCTTATTTGCCAGTAAGTTATAAAATTAACCCTGATTTTATTTCGTAACGGATTTATAGATTAAGTCGTTAAGAGCATTTATCCTTACACTTGATGTCATGTGTCCGATTCTTCCACTCCCTCGTATGTATAAAGTTCCTACCACATTACTCACTGTGTCAAGACTCAAAATTTGTACAACTTTGAGTTCCATATCTCTGATTCTTTTTCTCTAACAAAGCACATAAGTCAACAATGAGATCTGGTTGCTGCATGGGGCAAACAAAATGACATCTCTATCTTTAAAGCATAGGGTGGCAGGACTATAATTGGATTTACAATTTACAAAAGCCAGAAAGAAAAAGTTGTACACTCTTTTGTAAAACCATTTTCACATGCCTGATCCTGAAAATTTTATCCAAATAGTGTTTTCGTATTTGAGGCTTTTTCTTATTTGCTAGCAATAGCTCTTGAAATTTCATCCGTAGGGTCCTCAAGCTTTCAAATAAAGCCTTGCGGCCCGGTGATATGCTGGCATGGCAGTAGAAGCTATGCCCATATATTCCTCCCTCAGTATTCTATTAGGTACTTTGTTAACAGACAAAGTTATCAATCTGGTACTCATTCCTGTGTGTGTTTCTGCTTTAATGGCATGAATGGCTATAATTAATGAGCAAGAAAAATCATTTCAAAATCAATCATTATGTCCAAGTATTAATTAGTTTCTCACTGAAGTGATGAGCATTATTGTATTCCAAATGAAAATTAAAGCCCAAAATTATGGCAAATGGTACGAGCTAGAGTTTAGGGCTTCCATTTTTCATTTTCGGTGACGAGAGATTGTGCTTATGTGTAAAATTACTTCGTTTTGAGGTTTAAAGGCTTTTTTTTTTTTTTTTCAATTTCGAATTTATTAGAGGAAATTTTTGTATCTAGCGGTCACACCGAAAAATTCTTCACAACAAAGATCGGAACAATGAGTAAATGATTCGATTAAATATAGGGAACTTCCACTTGGATAGTTCACATCACTTTGTGACATGCACGACTGCAAGATTAATTGACTTATATATTTTTATAAACAAAGCATATATATATTTAGACCTGAAATCATATATTAAGCCACTGCCTGGAAAGCTAAACTGCATCCTGGAAATTGACTTGAAAACAATGTGTGAGTTGCTCTCTTGCCACCACTACATTTCTGAAAAATGAAACACCACCTAGGACGAAAAGATTGAGGATCTTTTTGAAGAGAAAATACAGGAAGAAAGTCAAAAATAAAAATAAAATTTGACTCTAAGATCAAAAGCAGCTGATAATCAGCTAGCTTTTCGGATTAGGGTTTAGGTGTAAGTTGCTTTGAGATTTGCGTTTAAACAGTGTTTGAACATAACATATTAACATAATCCTGTGGACTGTGGTTTTCCCAATAATCTAATCATATGAAAAATATTTACCTCCCCATGTTTTAGTTTTGAATCAAATCACTTTCTCTGTGAGGTGAAACAATAAAAAAAGTCACTTTCTCTGTACGCCCCCACCAAGCTATATGGTCTTATCTTCATCCAATTAGAAAGGGTTGAACAAAGAAATGAACATCGTCCACCAAAGTTGGACATTTTGGTTGAAAAATGCAGGGTTTGGTCGTTAAATTACACCCAACAACACCAACTTACTTAACCACTATTGTAGCATTGACCAATCTTACCCCCAAAATCTGCTTCATCAGATTCAAATCTATAATAAGCCTTTAAGCAAGGGTCATATGAGTTATTAATGCTAAGTAGTTCTGAATACTTTAAAGTTTGACGTAGTGTTAATTATGTAAATTTTGATTTGAATGAGGTTTAAGTCACCAAAAGTTGAATATTTGTGATGGTTGTCGAGATAAGTACTCTATCGCTGGAGCTATGAGATTATAGTAACATTAATTATCATTGAAAAACAAGTATGAATTGTGACATCACTCATATAACATTAATTTGTAATGATCGTCAAGATAAGTACTCTACAGTTGGAGCTACGACACTATAGTAACATTAACTATTGCTGAAAAACAAGCATGAATTGTGTCATCACTCGTATATTTTCTAATAGAGGTGAACATTTTTTATGGAAGTAAAAATGACTTTGAAAATGGGTAGTAGGAATGGTATTTTTAACTAAATTACAATAGAGAAACTCAAGTCAAGTGTCAAAGTGACAAAAAAGCCAGCAATGGTGTCTATGAGGGAAAGCACTGAGAAATGGACATGAGGTGGGGTTTGAAGTCTTTTCCTTCTACCCTCTGCCCTCATATTTGGACCCAAATATGGGTTGCCGTCTTCTTTTTAATTTTTTCTTCCTCTACCAAAACAAAAGTCCAAGTCTTCGAGTCCTAAAAGTGGAGGTTTACAAGTTACAACAACTCTCTCTTGTCTTTTTAGTCCTTGCCTTCTTCTGTCCATTGAACCAACACCACACTCTCTCCACCTTCGTCTCTTTCTCAAGTTTTGAGTTCAAAGATTTTTCCTTTAGTCTTCTCAAAGAACAAGTCCAACTTTCTTTACCACTTGGCCTCTTCAACTCTCTCTCTCTCTCTCTCTCTCTCTCATATTTAAGCCTCATTTCCCTTCGCTTCATCTAGAGAATTGATTTTCAAAGCAAAACGCATTTCCCATCTGGGTTCTGCTCATTTCCTCAAAAACCCAAAACCCAAATTCCATTCTTGGGATTTTTGAGGTAAAGCTCCAAGCTTTAGCTGTGAACAACGAATAACAATGGGAGAATTATCCCCTTTCGGTCGAACACTAGACGACTCAAACGCCGTACAGCTCACAGGAAAGATCATGATGATCGCCGTTCTGGTTCTCTTCTTAGTAGTTGTCTTCGTCCTCTGCCTTCATCTCTACGCCAAATGGTACTGGTGGCGCGCCGATGACGACACCTCCGTTAACGACCAATCTCGCCGCCGCCGCCGCCGCTTTGTTTTCGCCCCCGGCCAGGACACAGTTGCCACCGTAAGAAAAGGGCTCGACCCTCTGGTCCTCAAGTCCCTGCCAGTGCTGGTGTTTCCTTCAGAGGACTTCAAAGATGGCCTTGAATGCGCAGTTTGTCTCTCTGAGCTTGTTCAGGGCGAGAAGGCCAGGCTGCTTCCGAAATGCAGCCATGGCTTCCATGTTGATTGCATTGACATGTGGTTTCAGTCTCACTCAACGTGTCCAATCTGTCGTAACCCTGTTGCTCCTGAGAGCTCTGTTGATTCTGGTGCTGCTGGTTCTTCTTCTGCATTGGCAGAGAGTGATAGTGTTCAAATTCTATCACCAGCTGAGAGTTTGGCATCTGGGTTTTCAATAGAGGCTCCAAATTTCCCAACAAATGTGTTGTTTTGGGGGAACCAGACCCAGGTGAGCTCTGGACCTGGTTCTGGTTTAGAAGAAGGCCCTTCATCACCACCCATGTGCCCATCTTCTTCATCTTCACCTTCATCTTCATCTGCTATTAGTAGGCCAGATGGGATGTTGGTGATTGATATACCAAGTCAAACCTCATTGGCATCACCTTCGCCTTCCCCTTCGCCTTCCGGCAATAGGTTCGCCCCCGATGAGGACTTGAAGTCTCCGGCTACGACGAGGTTGAGGTCACTCAAGAGGCTCTTGAGCAGAGATAGGAGGATAAGTCCCTGCAGTCCTAGTTCTGTTGATGTTGAACAAGGAGGTGGGAGAGGACAGAGTTAGAAAGCAGAAATGCTCTAGATGCTTGCACATATTTGATAATTATTGATTTGAGATAACTATTTGGGACCAGGGAGATTTGGGAAGGAAATATTTTGGCGATGGGAATTGGCTGTTTGAGAGGGTCTGATAGATGTGCAATCTTGCATCCCTGAGAATTGATTTAGGTTCTTTTGGAGATGAACATCAAGCATGTCTTGTGTCAATTTTTTAATTTGCTCATTGTTCTTTTATTCTTGGAGAGAGAATCAAAAAGTGTAGCTTGAGATCTCTAAGCAGTCCTTCTGACCGCCTCTTATGCAACAAAGTTGTAATGTATATCTCTTACTTCAAACCAGAATTCGAACAATTTGTTTGAATTGAATGTATATTGTGTAAGCAAAATGCTGGCGCAGTCTGCCTCATTATGAGTCTGATACCTTAAACCCTTTGTTTGGTAATGAAAAAGAAAAGAGTTAAATTTCTTAACTTTTGTATTGTTTGGTTGGTAAAAAGTGGAAATTTTCTCTTAATTCAATTGATTTTCTAAATTAAATTAGGAACCAAAATGCAGTACTTGGTGCATGGCGCAAAACTTTATCAATTTCCTCTTTGATAATGACCTCATAAAGAAATACAACCACCTGCCTTGTCTATGGTGGTGTTTCTACTGGCTTTCAAACGGATCATTATCTTTCTCAATTCTTTCCTTGTGTGAATTTTAAAAAGATGAATATAATTAAGGGCACCAACAACTAAGGCTTCATTTCTCTGTAAACAAACATCATATGTTTTGTTATTATGCTACCAGTTTCTGTTCTGAGGCCAAACAAATGGTAAAAAGGCTTGTGATCCACCATATAGTGAGTTTGTTGATACTAGTTGTATTGTATGGTACCTACAAGTCATCTTTAATGGTTTTTTGCATGTGATAGGCATGGGTTTTTGGATGCTGAGGCTCATTCCTGAAGCTTCTAACAAAATAACAGCAGCACATGTATGAAGTAAGCATTTTTTCTTGTCATAGTTAGGAAGGGGGAGGGGGTATTCTCACACACACACGGTGCCATGGCGATCGAACCGCAGACCACTAACCTGCATGCTGACATCTCTACCATTGGGCTAAGACCCCATTGGCGGATGAAGCATTTGCAGAAATATTAAAAGCTAATTTCTTGGGCAAGTATAGTTTCTCTCTCAGCAGAAGCATTGTATATGAGGCATTGTTGCGCAAGTATAGTTTCCCTCTTAAAAGCTAATTTCTTTTTACTTAAAATAGGCTTCCTGCTGATTGGCCAAAAATTACTTCTTTTCAACTGCTCAGCATGACACATGAATAGAGAAATTATGAAGATATATTTGAAGTTTGAATGAAAATAAAACATCAAAAACACTGTCCAGAACAATTTGAATATGCTCTAAGTTTGGTTTGATGGATAATCAAGGGCATATGCAATTTTTGCTACACAGATAATTGCTTCCTTTGATTACTGACAAACCACAAGAAAGGAAATCAATACAAGGCTAAATTGACTTGGCTGCCAAGGATTCGAACTTTTGTTTTAGACAAAACACAATAACATAACACCTAAAGGATTTGCAGCTTTTTCCATATGCTTGGATGATTCAAATTCAACCAAGATGTAGAAAATTCCCAAGTTTCTTCCATTTGATGATCCAACTACATTTCCATGACAGCCCATTCATTGTAGTCCATAAGTTCACTGCACTTCAGCAAAATTGTCATATTAAAGTTTCTTGTTCTTGCCACCAAAACTTACCACCATATGGTTTCATGATTTTGTTGAACTTCTTCCATGATGCAGAAAGGTTAAGATTCAATTCTCTATAGCCAACTTCTTCATGACATTCTATCTCACCAGATAAACGGGCCCATAGGTTTTAACAACTTGAGGGCTGCCATTGTTGTCAAGACACACATAGGGTATTGCATTGTCTGATCTCTTTGTGGGGTTGAAAAGACTGGCGATAGGCCCAGATGTTGGACGCCGGTGCCTACCATCCATAACCTTGCCGGTGCCATACACTGGACCAGAAACATTTGTCCGCCTTGTATTAGAAACATGAGATATGGTTTCTGGTTTTATGCTAGTTTTGTTCATTTTATCTCCTTTCAACCATGGAAATAGAAACTTTTTCCATGATTTCTTCTTCTTCTCTTGGCCCAATCTTCTTTCTCCACCTTCTTCTGGATAGCCTGATGATTTCTGGAAGTCTGCCTCAACTGCATAGTGTTTTGCTTCTTCCAGAAACTGACCATATTTAAAAAGTTAAAACCAGATAAAATTAGCAAAGAGAATGTGCAATGTGACATTGAATAACAAACTTTTCTTTTCAGGCCAAAAAATGACAAACTCAGATTTGATATCTAACCCTGTACAATGCAATAGCTAAAAAAATAAAGTAGAGGCTGAGGAAGTTCTATAATGATGATCATGTCTTGGACATGTAGTTTTGACATGTATTCAATTTTTTTAATAGTCTAGATTTTTAGTTAATAAATAAAATTGAATTGATACATACGTTGTTATCATAGTGGTTTTTTCTCGTTCAACAAAGTAGTTTTTTTATTCATAATGGGGGTATGAAGGTGGCAATGGGGGAAATCCATTACAAACATCAGATCATCTAACCTGATAAAAGTCAGCCTGAGGATCAAATCCATTGCCTTCATGTTCCATGTCATACTTTGGGTGCACAGGAGATTTCTTCATAGTTGCCTAAATAAAAAGAGGAACAAGGATAACAATCTAGGAAAGTTTGCAATTGATGACTTATAATTGATAAAGACCATGAAATGAAATGAAATGAAATGAAATGAAATGAAATTCTCATCTGGCTCTACCATCAGTTGAAGAAGACCAAAACAACCAGAAAGCTCTGAAACTTAAAGTGGTCCATTGTTCTTCAAAGCATTTATCAGAAAGGCAGAGAGCCAACCACCCTTGTAGAAAACCCAAATGAAATTACTACTTAAAGGCCATATTGGTGATGGGAAATCAAATCAGAAATGGTAGTTGAAATGGCAGTGTTAAGTTTCTCTCTCTTTCCATAATGCTTAAGAAAGCAGGACAAGATATATACAGCAAGCAAGCAAGCATCAATATGAACCAAAAGTGACACACAACATGAGCAACATACTTAAAGCAGCAGCTCACTTGATGAGGCAAACGTATCAGATTCTAATTAAGCACTTGAAAACCAAACGCATTATCACTTAAGGCAAACATTAATTAATATTATTAATTAATCACTGTTTTATGACCTTTACAGTGGATTAAACAACCCCACACGAAAAGAAGAAAGATACCTTTTGTCATTGGGACTGGGTCATGTAGGATTGCGACAAATGCGGAGCATGTTTCGGGGGCTTTGAGGATTTCTCTGGGAAAAGTTTTTGAGTAAATCTCCCTCCATTTATGGCGTGCAGCAAGGAGCTGCCTGCTTCAGTGCTATTTGTCCACAAAACAAACCAAATATTAAAAAATAGTAAGAAAGAAAGATAGAAAAAGTAACTTGCTTCAGTATACTGCTCCTATGAAGCAGACCAGAGGCAAGCAACCTTAGCTTATTTGGATCAAGCCATTTAATTATATTATAAACTAAAAAGCTATTGACAGTCTGCAGCAAATTACAATCAAATGTGACTGTCACTGTTGAATGTGGCTTTGAGTTTGAGTGTAGTGTCCTAAAACATTTTCCATGCATGTTTACTAATATATAATCAGGTGAGGAGAAATTGAATTGAGAAAAGTCAAAATCCAACTTCTTATTTTGATTCTGATTACGAATCAGTAAACATGCCATTAATACGATGATTTTGAAGCCTACCTCAGGTCAGGTGTAAAATTATACTTTTGAATTGATAAATGGTAACATCTTTCATGAAACATGAGAATCAAAGTTAAAGGATTTTGTGGGGTTTAGCTTTTATACAATCCAAGTAACAAACTTTTAACCAAAGTCATCACCCTTGCTCTACGTCATCTCATACATGTTGCAATCATGGAATGGATTGTTCTAATTCCATCGTTTTACACTTCTCAACCTTATTAGTGAAGAATAGTTTAGTAGCTGAAACGAGGAAAAGATAATCTAGAAAATGAATAGCCAGGGACAAAAACGAGTTTTCGGTTTAGTCAAAACCCTGAAATGAGCTTTCAGATCACTACTTTATATGTGAGAGAGAGAGAGAGAGAGAGAGAGAGAGTACCAAGCCAAAGTTGAAACAGAAACTCCACTAAAGTTGAAATAACATCACAAGCATGTCATGTTTGAACATTGACAAACAACGACCAAACATTGACATAGAAGGAAAAACATCAGCCAAGCGATTCAACTGACCTTAGTATCAACCTCCTATACAAAATTATATTAGATACAAGATAAACCTAAAGGAGTATTTGGAACAAGTCCACTCGACTTGCAAAACGTTTTATGTCCACGGGACCCCAATAAATTTTCTACTAGGGCTGTAAGATACTAAAGTTGAAGTAGAGGCAGCGCCATTACAACACCAAAGACGGAAATTAGCAACAACATCATCCAGGTTGGGAATGACTGCTTTTTGTTTTTCCTCGCCTCCTTCAAGGCATCTAGTCTTTTCATACCTCCTGTTGAGTCATCAACCTTTTCCAACAAAGGCCTGGAATTTTCTTGAGATGACTCAGATGACACCCGCTCTGTAATAAGCTGCTGCTGGTTATGCTTCTCCACATACTCGGGAAACATTTTCCGGAATGTTGGACTGTTTCCATAGAAAATTGTTAGACAGTACAATACAGATTCAAACTTGTCACACAGAACCCCAGAAACAAGCTCAAAAGTGGAGAACCCACACTAGGGTCAGAACAAGAAGCATGGGACGCTCAACCACAATCATGTATGAACATATTTTACTTTTGCCCTTGTGTGGCTTATATCATCAAAAGATAGAGAATATGAAACAAACTGTAGCAGGTCCAACAGACTTACTTTTTAGAGTTAAACGCAAGAGAAGCCTTTGCCAAACGTTGCTTCTCAGCAGTAGTAGTGTTCACACTGCCGGTAGTGGGACTGTTGTCCATCTGCATTAGAAAAGAGAAATTGAAACATTAAAGATGCTTCAAAGATCTGCCAACAAAAGGATGTGAAATTCCCAACCAAGATAACTATTAAATCTACATAAGAAAGTATTATCTGTTAAAAAATAAGAACAAGTTACAACAGAAAAAGATTGGCTGAACTACTGAAATATGCAGGAGAAGGGACATAAATCATCAAGGTTTGTTTATATTTAAAAATACAGCTACCTATACTTTGAGTACCATCCAAACAGATTAAACTCTACTAGGATCGCATCAGTAAGTTATAATTTTCGTTAAGCAAATGGAACTAAGGCAAAAACAAATTAGCATGCGAAAGAGGCACAATCAACTCACCATAAATGAAAGAAGCCCCGTAAGTATGCTGCATTTGTGAAGAACAGATGTTAGTGGAATTACAACTTACCACAAGTATAATATAAACAATAGCAACTCACTAACAAGAGAAAGCACACAAATATAATTAACATAAAATATAATTAAATAAATAAATAAAAAGCTCCTTCTAAACCCAGATGTGTCTAACCTTGACACAGACCACATTGGATTCCAACTTTCAGGATGGACTGCAAAGAAGCATAGGTAGACATGAAGTTAGTTATTTAAAAACAAAAAAGCACACTCGCACAAAAAAAGAAACATTCTATTTCAAAAAAAAACTCCATAAAACTTACAATCACTCATAGACAAACAAATTTTCTTCTGAGTCATGAATCTTCCATTGGGAGTAGTCATACTACAGACAGGAAGTAAAGTGTAATTTAGAATCAACAACGTGAATGCACACATAAAACAATTGCATGCTCAGAAACACAGAATTTCTCATAAACATTAAAAAATAAATTTTCTTCATAATTTTGACATACAAAAAGTACATACCTGATTCCTGGTGGTTTATATGGATATTCTGGAGGAAACTTGATCTTTCCATAGTAATATCCACCTATAATGCGTAGAGCAAAAAAAAACAAAAAAGCTAAGCTTTGATATCAAACCAAATGACTAATTTATGTAAAGTACCGAATATCATACACCAAATACAGAAAAAGGTGGGGTGTAACATAAGACAAACCTGCAAAAGGTGTTCCTTCACTTCCCTCCAACACGTAGTCTGAAGCATGTGATATAAAGAGTAAAGATTAAAATACCCAAACAAAATGAAATAAATTACAATATGACGAAGATAACTGTACCTACACACTTAGAAATACTATAGAAGAAGGATTATGGGAAGGATGAATTACACAAAAAACAGATTTATCGTGTGTTTGCTTTAGATTCTGCACTTCCAATGTGACTAGAAGTATGGTCGCACATTAACCTCTCGTGATGATAGTCAACTGACAGGCTTGACATATCAACAAAAAGATAATATACCCTACATTGTGAAAACCATGTTTGACAACTTTTTTTTTTCTGGGAAAAAACAAAACAAAACTGTTCTTGAGAACTAGTATGGAGTGTCTAACCTACAAAAGGCCTTATCATAATTCCCTTACTTCACAATGTTGAACCAACACCTTTCGGAATTTAAAAGTTTTGAACCCTTGTCCCGTGACTTCATCCTCATTTCACTAAAATCCTTAAATTAACATAAACCAACCCTAGAAGTGGCATTTAATGTTAGTTAATAGGGAAAATACCAAAAATGCTCAAACCCGGCATAAATTATAACGAAGTTTGACAAATCCCATTTCCACTGTACTGGACTGAAATTTCAAGAAGGCAGGAGATAGAGGAAATTTCAGTTGCACTTCAAGCGTCATAATTTTTTAACAATGCTGGTCAATGCTGTAACAATGCCTTAACTGATTTTGCAAAATGTGATTCTTATGCCACATCTTGCTCAAAGTTTTAGGCACATATGAGCAAATGAAATTCACCTTATTTACTCACTAAATATTGGAACCACAACTCTTTGTCTTGCTGATATAAAGAGAGCCAAAATGTCACTCGAAACTCAAATTTTCATATAGCGTTTTTTAATTGAAACAAATTACAAATACACCAAGAAAAATCCTATTTGAATTTAAAGGAAGTCAGTTGCGAATAAACTTACGCCACTCGAGAATATCATTTGGCGAAGGACGGGCCACAATATGAGAAACTGGTTCCTGTACATCAGCATATAGCACTATTAGCAACATCCAGAAGGATAAAACATAATAAAGTTCCAGGGTAGTCAAAAGGAGACATCAATTCTTAAACTAATGCACATATATCGGCTATAGTTCCAAACCTACGAGAAAAACAATAGCACTCGCACATATATCAGCTATAGTTCCAGACCTATGAGAAAAATAATAGCAATCAATCTGTTCAACAACTCAAAAATTACACAAAACATGGAGAGGAGCCAAACTCCATACCATGGCGATCAAGAAACTAACTGAAAGAAAACAAAAGGAGAGATTTAACTGTCCAATTTATGAATGTAACAAGACCAAAAGATTACACTAAAAGTATATATGAGAACCATATACTGATATTGCAGTGAAACATCAGAATATATACACTGGTCAAGCAAGCAAATTTAATCACAAAGAACATAATTAGGATCTAAATGATATGAACTGATTATAACAGAGATTTGAAAACAAGTTGAGATGAACAAAAGAAGTCATACTTTGCAGAGTGCTCTATATTCCTTCTGGAGGCGCTTGACACATGCTTTCTCCGCCATTTCACAAAAATTGTAGCGAATAATATAATACTGAACTTCTTTGGTTTCAAATGTTATTACCAGTTCTCTGATAAACATAGAAGAAAATAACACACAAAGTTAGACTCTTATGAAGCAATCAACTTTACAGATCAAAGTGAGAATGTATTAAATTAAACCATTTACTGGACAAAAATAAATGTAAATTTAGTATAATCAACAAGTTGTCAATTTACCGTTCAATTAGAATTTAGGGTTTTAGCATAGAAAATCCCAATATAAAAAATTGCCAACTCCAATTGCAATCTCTACATTTCACCCTCTTCATTTATCTGTTTAATTAAACTATATTAACAACAAACCTAATCATAAATTCCTAACGTCAAGCACCAAACTTTAAGCCTTACGAATTCAACCACGCAATAAAACTCAACATTTAAAAACTAAAAATTCACAAAAAAAATACATATAGAACTGTTATGCAGGAACGTAGATCGGAACGAGAAAAAATTGAATTTGGAGCAAAACCTGATGAGATCGGCGTTTGGGGGATAAGCAAGAGACCTCGATCGCACATGTATGCGTTTACGAAGACAATTGCAGCTGAAAGCAGAAGGACGACGTCGTATTCAGCGATTTCCAATTTAACGATGTTTTCAAAGGCGTTATTTGTTAAGTCAGTCCCCCCCGACAGTCTCAGCTTCCTACCCTTCTTTCATAGGACCACAACTGATCCGGTCAACTTCAAATGACCGTTATACCCCTGATTCTCCCTTCTGCGAATGAGGTCGGTTGCTTTTTAAGGGTAGTTTAGTCAACCTAGATGAGATGCGCTCACTTTTTTTTTTTTTGGGCCTCTTCTAAAAAAATAGAACTCCTATATATTCCGGAAATAAAATTCCAAAGAAAAAAAAGGCAATAATACATAAATGATAAATCAAGTACAATCATATAATGGGATTTACACATGTGTTCAATACACACCACAAAAACATTATATCTAATTTTCACTCAATATATCTTAAATTTTTAAATTTAAGTTTTATTGGAAAATCTTTCTTTTGCGTTACAATGACGGTTGCTAGTCATAATCCAACATGTCGGCATATTTATGTTTTTAATATGGCCGGAGGAGATAAAGTAAGGTTGAGTAAAACTTGCATGTAACATATTTCTTACTCATTTCTATCTCCCGCCCACATCAAATGATCATGTGGGTTAAAGTTTTATATAAAAAATAAAAAGAATTAGGGTGAGATACAGCCCGCCCAATTCTCGATTTGCCATGACGTACATTGTGACCTGTTGAGCTTTCTTTCCAGAAGTGGAAGACTTCCCTCTGTTCCTCTCCATCAGGAAATCTCTATCTTCTTTCTTCAGTTCTTTTAATCATTGGTAAATGGAAACAGTCTCTCTGTTGATCCTTATTATTACTTGCTGATCAAGAAAATTATGGAGAAAAAGAAAATGACAACGCAAACATAAAAATAAAAAGGCAATACCACAAGATCCAAGAGCTTCCTCAAAAGAGTACAAAAAAAGTGCCAAGCCAACTAGTTTCAGTCATCAGCAGCTGTTATCATATTTCTAGATCCAACACTGTCCCAGTAAACAAGTACCACTGCCTAATCACTAATAAAATTATAATAAACAACCCTTTTAGCTTCCCAAAAACAACATTACTACTATTAATATAAAATCACATGCCTCATCACATGACCCCAATTGCAGAAAATTGCAAATAAAAATATAAAAATATAAGGTGGATACATGACACATCATCATTTTCTTCTCCAAAATCTGCAGGTCAGAGTTGCAGCATGTAACAGTCAAAGTTGAGCACATGATCCCACTGATATCAGATCCCAATTGGGATTTTTCCCTTTCTTTTTTTTTTGAAACATAAATTTTGGTATATAAATCAAAGACTAGACCATCATTTCATTTCATATCTAATCATAGGCTTCAAGTTTATCTATCTTATTCACACTCACTGAGCAGATGAATATGAAGACTTGGTCTAGAGTTCTAGCTGCTCTGGCTCTTGCTCTTTCCATGGTGCTCTCAACATGGCCTGATATTGCAGCAGCACAAGCTCGTCCATTAACTTCCGCTTCTGCTTCTGCATCGAAAAAAGCAGCTTCTGCATCTTCATCACAAGGTCTTGAAGATTTGAAGGCAAAGAAGAAGAACCCGTATAAGCAAGTTGGCTCAAGCTTTAGAAGAATACCACCCAGCACTTCAAATCCCACACAGAACAAGTAAAGTATACTTCCAAGCTCTTTCATGCCTCTCTCTCTCTCTCTCTCTCTCTCTCTCTCTCTCTCTCTCTCCCTCTCTCTCCACCACTTGAAGATTTCCCATAATTGACCTCAGTTGCCTTGCTTTCTTTTTCCAGGTCCAATCCTCCATAAGGTGGCTGAAAGTGGAACTACAGAACAACAAGGGGTATCTAGCTAGCTAGCTTTCTCTCTCGTTCATTTTTAGACCACTTGTAATGCAACTGCAGTTTTGCTACCTAGCTAAGGTTTTGTTAGCTCTGATTTTGAGTGTAAATTTGTAGTCTTTTTGTGATGTATATATAGAAGAATAACATGTTTCTGTTACAATAACAAAAGGATTGAGAACCAAGATCAAGATCAAATGTTTTCTCCTCAATTTTGGTTTGAAACCACTGCAAAGTCACTGATAATATCATACTATTAACATTGTTATCACGTGCCTGATCACGTGACCCTTTATTGAAATATATACCTCACCGTTGTGGCCAAAGCATACAGCTCAGAGTTGCATTATGTAACTGAGAGTTCAGCACATGATTCCACTGATATCAGATCCAAATTTGGTTTATTTTTTCACCTGTTTTCGCACCAGAAAATTAGGTAGAAATCAACGACTAACACATCTATGATAATTACACAACGGTTTTTACATCTTAAGCGCCTATTTTTCACCTATTTTTGCACCATTTGTGTAATCACATCATAAACACCACGGCAAGGAAGAACCCTTGTAAAAGCAGGTTGGCTTGTCCTTCCAAAGGGCACCGCCAAATCCAACTCCTCCTTCATAGATGTCCGAAAGAGAGGAAGTACAGAACCAAACATGGGGAAACTCGGCAGCGTTAGTTTTCATTCATTCAAGGCTTTTGAAAGTAAATTTATCTATAATTTTCTTGATACATACAGAACAGTATCATTCCGTTACAGAAGGCTATGACTTAAAAACCTCAACTTGAAAAACAGGAACAAGAACAAAACAGAACTAAGAACTTTGCTCTCACACATGAAATTCTCCAATTCAGTTAGCCTATGCTACCAATTCAAACATCTCAAGACTAAGAGCAATTAAATAGTTATATCCAACCAGCATTTTTTTTCTTCTTTTTGGGAGCGCTTCTTCCAGGCTGGTATCTCTCCCTCTCCAACTGGGTTTATACCCTCTGCGGCGCTGGAGAAGGTTACAAAACATGAGATTGAAGCAGATGATCCACATCCTCATCTTTTCAACTTCTTAGGGGATTTTTGCAAAACATCCTCTCTGTGCCGTTTCTTCTCTGCCTTATCCATGGATTGGGATGTCCCCTCATCTGTGACTATATTCTTCGACTTATTCTTCTTCACTTTAGGAACATCCTCATCGGCCGAATTTCTTGCAAACTTCTTGCTGCTCTTTTCTGGTTTATTTGGTTTGCGTTTGAAGCCTGTTGTACTCAAAAATGGCGCAGGAGATGCCTGGAGATGTGCGATTTCTTCCCGCATTTGGTTTATTTTATTCGGTTGTGATGTCTTCTTAGAATCATCAGAAAGAAAGCTGCTGTTCTTTGACGGCTTGGTCTCACTAGAGCCAAATGTAGAATAGAATTCATTGAAAGTTGATTGTTTTGATTCTTGCCTGGACCTCCATTGATCAGGTCTAGCAGCAAACCTGTCATTTACACAAGGTTAAGTACATAAACTGCAAAGATTCAACTCCTAACAAATAATGCTAAAACTAAGTATCCGAAATGATAAATTTATGGTTTCTTCAAAGAAGTTTGTGCACAATTGAGCGACAGAAGATAGCCAGCTATGTGCTAATTACTTCGGTGAATTATTTAAGATACAAGAGCAAGCTTTCCTTAACAAAGAAAAACGATTGACACACATCCTGACTAACAATGAAGCACATAAAAATCTTGATATTCTGAAATAGAACATGGCCAACAGCTTACCCATCAACATCTAATTTCCTCATGAGATGAGGACCTTGCTTCGTATTCCAAAGCTCACTTTGCACAGTTAACAACTCAGATACTATGGCCTCTCTCAGTGAGATGTTACCCACAGTAAAACACTTTTCAACAGTAAAGGAACCAGATGATTGCAATGAAAGCTCTCCAAAATGTCCACGAAGCCTTCAAAGTATGCAACAGAAGATCCAATTAAAAAATGTTTTAATTGCCTAGAACCATAAGACAAAAGCAAATATATGGGCATCCTGATAGATACACAGGCTATGTAAGCATACAATCTACCAATTAAGTTACACAGCATACTTCATGATTAGTCGGCGCTTCAGTTTTGCAGAAGCATCTGAACTTAGAAAAGCTTCAATAACACGAGCACCTCCAGAATCTTTAGCAGCTTCGAGGATATTATCAGCATTGAGGGATGTAATACTTGTAATGAAAGGCTGTATAAATTCCTGTGAAGTGAAACAGTAAATCAGTAGAAACAAATACAAGATTGCAATGCAAGAACCAATTAAGTGAACGAGCTTCAATCCTAATTGCATTATTTTATTTCCTGAATGTCCTAACAAGAAAATATGAATTTATAATTGCAGTGACCAAACTCAATAGATTTTCTCTAAAAAGGCAAAACTGAAAATAGATATTCCATCAATGGAAACAGAATATTACATAGAGAGAAAAGATGACATACAAAGGGGGTGGGGGTGGGGGGTGATTTTCTTTTAAATGGAAATGGAGAGAGCGAAAGTGCAACAGTGGAAATGCTACAAGTATTTATTTCAATATTTTAAGAAGCATCACAATATGCTAAAACTATATAACTATATATAGAAACACCCAATATGATAGTTGGGGGCTCTGATTTGAGTACAACTACGAGAAAGGTTCCATACATTTTGAAATCGAAAAACTCCTTGCAGAATCAAAGAACCCATTACGTGCATTTTAGCACCGCTTGGCCAATTCCAATTAGACTTTTCTTCACAGTAGAAATAGCTGTCAAGAAACAGTATCCGGGGAACAATGCATGTCGAAGATTCATTACTTGAATGTATAGCCGTAGCAAGGGCCTCACAACACTGTCAAACATGTAATGGAACAATAACTACGATCAGAATGAGTATCAGGACTCACAACCAGAACAAAGTCTTGTTAACAAGTAAATACCATCCATGATCCATCTAATTTATTTATCAGTAAAACTGTAATTGAACTGATTGTTGGGGGGGGAACCACAATTTGGCAGAATATGTTAAATTTAAAATACACAAATACCGAGGTGAAATTAAAGAAATTATGAACGATAACACAAATTCTTTTCTGACCTTATGTTCATAAATATGAAGCCTCTGACTTGCAGCAATCAGCGAAGCAATGACTCCTGATTTTCCCATTTTAAGCAGATCCTTAAATTTCGAACCAAGCTCCTCCCAGATCACCTCCATCTAATGGACAAATTGGCAATAAGGTGTTATGACAGATTGAAGACCACCTTTTGCATGGAGATATGCCAAAGTAGCTAAAATAGGAGAGCAGTACAGAAAAGTAAATGGAATAGGCTAATTTGAAGTTAACATTTATATTAACTCCGCATAATGGAAATGCTAATCGAAAAGAATTACAGGGTGCGGTGGAGCATGATGAGGGGTATAAAGTGTCAAAAAGCAGCATTGTCACAAAACATACCTGATCTTGACTCCCTGCATGAGAAATTAGTGCTTGAATGACAAAGTTTCCACAATGATGAGATGAAAGCTCAAATAATGAGTTTCTAAAAACTTTTGTGAACATTTCATTGTACAAGACTTCAGGAGCCACTTCCAAAGCAACCTGCAATGTTCAGAACATATAACTAAAATGAAGATAAACCAAACTACAATCAAGGAGAAAAGGATAGCAGAAGATAAATAGATGTCTTGTCATCAGTCCTTCACATTCTGCAGATTTGGCCAGCTATATCTTGTTTTTTGTTTTATTTTTAAATTTTGGGGGAGGCAGAAGCTGTGTTACCCGTTAGAACTGCATAGTTACAGCTGCAGGTACGAAAAGATTATTTTGATCCCACAATTGACTAAAGGAAGTTTAATTGTTAATGTAGCATAACCATCTCACTAACGTATAAGCTCAAACAAGTTATGATTGTAGTAAAGGCTATATAAAACTACACAAATTTCGTCACATCGGAATATTGGGATGAAATCAGTTAGTAGTTTTCAGAAAATGATTATCAAGATTGATTTCCGTCATGCCATTTATGACACCAATTTGATATCAAATTGACAATTTATAAAGGCATGCCTGGATTAAGCACACAATTAATAGAAGAACATGGCAACTTGCCCTTTTGTAAAATTTCACGCAGGAATAAGCATTGTTCATGCAAACTTTATGAAGAAAGTGTTTACCTCCATTAAATGGCTAAATGCTGTTTCTTTCATAAGATATAAAATATTTCTCGCTTTAGTCGTTTTAATGGAATCTCCTTCTAAAATTTCTTCCCTGGTACATCCAATAAGAATGGGAATTATTTGCAACAGCTTTTCTTCATCTCCTGCTAACAATTTCAAAGCACTCTGCCGGGCAAAAAAAAAAAATTGTTATAATACAATTCAACATGGACACAGACCATGCACGTATATTGCAAACGAAAAAGAAAAACAAAAAATAAGACTATGAAAAGAACTTGATTCTGTAGAAATCCTAGGCATCCAAAAGATCAAGTTTTAGATGATCAAATTATTATACTTGACCAATTTCATCCATGAAGGAGTAACCTCTCACCTCAAAAAAAAAAAAAAAAAACTATACCACAAATGCTTAAATGAAAGGAAAATTTGCTCCCTCCCCTTTTCATAGATGAACAAATAAAGGGGAAAGAACCCACTGACCACAAAATAGACTTCCACACTTAGAATTGGGTATATTAAATTTGTCACAAATTTTGAGAAGTATACTCTGGTGGATTGTCTTAAGACTCATCAGATGCTAATCAAGTATCACAAATGGAGATCTGGACCATATATGAAAACTGACTTATGGAGTTGTCAACACTATATTACGAATTAGGATGCTATTAACCAGGTTGTATATTTTACTTATTAAGATGCTATTAATACCATGTTGTCAACTCTATATTAACTTCTTCTTTTTTCACTTTACTTTTTTTTTTATACATTTGGTAATGAATAACTTATCAGTTCTCAATTGACATTCAAAAAGAAAAGCAACTCCTAGGTGTAGAAAAAAATAGTATGATAGAATATTAGAACTTGCCTGCAGAACCAAACTGCTGTACTGATCAACTTGCATGGTCTTAATGTTGTTCTGGATACACTTTGACATCCCTGAAACAAGAAAGTCAAGTAAACCTGGGAATCCCTGTACAGCCTGTGGTGAAATATCTGTGTCTGCTCGAGATGCCTTGAAATTCAACCGCTCTGCAAGGACTGAAGAAGACTTTCTCCGGTTAAACTCAGAAGAATCCAATGGTACTCCTTTAAAAAGAGAAAGAAGACTTCGTAGAACATGAGATCCATAGCAATCGCACATCAGATCACCAGGATTCTTTACAATCACCTGACAAGAAACAAAATATATTATATTATGAATTGAAGGGAAAAAAGAAGATCATAGTTTACATATGCCCCTACTACCTTTCTGTTTCAACTGTTTTAAATTTCTTAAAATGAAAGAAAAAAAGAAACTGGAAGTTTTTACATCACTTAATTGAACATTTAACATTCATAACCGCTAGCTTATTATAATCAAATTATCTGGATATCTTCTGGTTTTAAAATTCCAGAGATAGAACAGGCAACAACTGACCAAATGCTGAAGATATTGACCCAAAATCACTTCTTGTAATTAAGAACATCAAACACTTAATACCTTGCATATTGCATTTAGAGTGTCTTCAATAACAGAATAGACATCGTTGTCCTGAAGATGCTGCGATAAAGACTTGATTGCAGTCTCAGCTACATGAGAACCAGAACGGTCCATTGCAATAGAAGGGAAGTCCTTTGCGCAGCTTCGAAGGAAAGAACAAAGAGAGTTAACGTCACAGCCCTCAAGAAGAGTCTGCATAGTGTGGCTTAAGTAATAATCGGTTGCAAGTTCAAATTCTTTCCCCCTAGCTTCCTCCAGGGCATTACCACATACAACCAACCGCTCCTCCATATCAACCCCATTACTCTCAATAAGGTTAGCAATTTCCGAAAAGTACTTTGTGGTTTCGGGATCAACCTGTTTCCTACAACAAGTACTCAAAAACATTAAAATGCCAAACAATTCACAAAGTAACCATCTTTCTCAAAACCCGTCATTGAAAAAACTTATCATGTAATACCTAACAACTGCTCTTTGTGTTTCCCAATCGCTTTGACGTTGTGAGCCCCGCCCGGATCCATTTTTGTTGACATTGGCATCAAAGGAATTACTTTGTTTGTCAGGCTTTCGGCTCATACCCATTTTCTTTCTACTCCGTTTGTGTGAATTATCCTCATCACCCATTATGCCTACAAGTCGTCTCAATGGCAATGCCTTAGACCCAAAAGAAACCATAAGCAACCCTCCCAGCACCACTCACACACAAATTTCAACAGCTTCCTAGTATAAAACAGAATAACTACCAATAACCCAAACAAACAACAAAGAAATTAAGTCAGAGAACGTAAACAGCCAGCATGCTGAAAATTTAATAAACAAATGAAATCAATAACAAAAGTAGCTAACAGTATTTCTTCCAATAATATTATTGTTTGAAAACCTAGAAATTAGGAAAATAGCAAGTGCAATTCAATTCAGAAGAACAGATATATTATTACTACGAAACCAGTAATTTATTTTTATAAATGAAAAATGGGAAAAGATGAAGCTTACTTTTGCTTCTGTGGAGTTGCCGCTAGTCTGGTACTCTCTCTTTGTTCACAAACCTAACTAGAATTTGCACCAAAACGTTGTTTGCAATTTGCCTTCGCTCTAAACGGCTGCGTTTCGATCGTTAAGGGTTTAAGGGTTTTGAACGAAATTTCTCAACCCGACCCGACGGTATTGAGACCACATAGGAAAATAACCGAACTTCTTTTTTTAATCGGTTGAATTTTCTCACTGGGCCTAAACCTAAACATGACACAACAAGATCGGACCAGACTCATGGACATTGGGCCTCTACAACACAACTTACTAAAATTGTGATTTTTCTTCCTTTTCAGTCAATGTTATTACTACTGTAATCTAAAAGGAGGAGATTCGAAACGAGGCGGGTTGACTGACCTAACTCACGTCTGCAACAAATTCCTCCTAAGCAAGAATCAAATACTTTTCAAAAATAATAATAAAACATGGTCTAATAGATGGAAAAAAAAAAAAAAGAAGTTAAAGAGTATCATTAGCTGCCCAACAAAATAATAATATGTGTTTTTTATTTATCAAAAAGATGTATTATCGAAATCCTAAATGGTTAGCATGAAAGTAGAGAGAACAATAACATGTGTTGTTGTTTTTGTTTCTGTACTCAATAACATCACATGCAAGTGTTCTTTAAGATATAATTAAAAAATAATACTGTGTTGTTATATTACGGTATTATTCATTTTTATATATATATATTCTTAATATTTTTCTTTATAATTCTTTGAAAAGATGCTCTGGTTGTGCTTTGAATACTGGAACATTGCACGGGTTTGTTCACTCTCTGACAGACTCTTTGGGTCTTTCTTTTCAACGAAGTTTCTTCTCAGCTCTCTCTAACGTCACAATTCTGTGGAGACAGATAAGATTAAAGCCTCATCTCTTTGGCTCTTGGCCCTTTGCTAAAAAGTATGTGTGATTTGGTTGGAGATTACATTGTTAGTGAGGATTGTTATATATAATTAACTAACCGGAAGAGCGAGCCACTTGTAACTCAAGTACTTGTAACTCAAGTGATCAAAGGCATTTACATTTAAGGTTCTAGACTCGATTCTCCGCTCTTTCAATATCGCTTATATTTATTATAAATAAATAAAAATTAAAGTTAGATATGTATGGTTGAGTGGGACGAGATGCATGTAGTACATGAGTCTCTGCCATCTCATTTTCTCTTTCTCTCATGCCTCATTGTCTTTCTTGTCATCTCTGTACCTATATGATGTTACAAGTCTACACAAATTATATCACTTGAGCAAGGGGTTTGTAACTTATTTGATTAAGAGTATTTACCCGTGTACCGATTATTATAGGTTCGATTCTTCTCTCTTATCGCTTGTATTACAAAAAAAGTTATGAGTTTAAAAACTAATGATTAATTTATATAAAAATATAATTTAAGGTCCAATAGATTTTCTCCACTTGCAGGTCAAATTGGGTGCTTTACAGTCTAGTGTATCCTGCGAAGGTGTAGACTTTTCAAACATCCACTGAGAATTGATTTGTACTTGATTTGGCATTCAGTTTGTATTGTAGTTGTGAAAATTAAAGACTGAAAAACAAACAGATCGATGGGGACAACTGTTCTTGGAAGCTATTAGCTTAAAACAGACAGCTGGGAATGGTCCTCCCAGTCTCATCGTTTTAATTGTAAAGATGATAATATTTTAACCAAGTTTTTTTTATAGTTTGTCAGAGCCTTGGTTGGTAGCTGTAATTAGAAATAAACAATTGTTAATTAACTCGAAATCATTAACCAACTAAGTTTTTTAATGATATTATATTAGATTTCTTCCAGCATCTGAAAATCCACCAAATGGAACATCTGACAGAGTATATGTTAACTGTCATATATCAAATATATATATTTTGTGGGAAACTAAAATCAGCACTATGTGTGGGTCGTCTAAGCTGGTTGCAACCAAAATATAGTTTTGATTCCTTGCCGACACCCCTTGGCAAATTGTTAACTACACGATTAAGTTTAAACATCATGCGTTTTTTCACAGATTAAAAAAAATAATTATGATCAGGGTGCTTAGCTATCATTTAAAACAAAACACGACGTGATTATAATTTGTGATAATTTGAGTTACACGAATTTTTAATGCTAGGACAACATGAATATTGTGGAACCATGTAGATTGCTAGAAATCATGTTTTCTCTAGATCTGTTACGGATGTAGTGGTGGGTGTGGCCGTGACAACACTTCTTCAGGTTGTAGTGGTAGGGTTGGTTTAGACTCATAGGTTGCTTTAGGGTTTCGGTTATGTTGGGTATGTGAGCTAGTTGTTTTAGTGCGGCTTTTGTCCGCTTTAACATGTTAATTTGTTACTCTTTAGGGATTGATACTTTTGATGTCCTTTATTGTAATGTTGAAGTTTACCTTTGATCAAACACGGATGCTATAGAGGGCTTTTAATTAATCATTTGATAAATTAAGCTAATGGGATCAACAAAATTTAGACGTATTGTTGTTACGCAAGAAGAATGTAACAAGTGAAGAAATAAGAAAATTTTCTCAAAATCGGTATAGTTCTGATGAAGGAGGGCTCATGAAAAGCAGCGTGACCTTCATTGTAGTTAGATTTTGAGACCATGGATAAAATAAAAGTAATAAAAAGTTTTGGGTTTTGGGAAAAAACAAAAAAGGGTTGATGAACAGTCATTTTCTTCACTCTTGATCATAGTTATCTTTTAGCATATATCACGTGTGTAAAGAGCATACAAATAGGGCCCTGGCTGGCCTAGTCATTGGCATCTCTAATTTCTCTTTAGCATTTCGAGCTTTATGCATTGTTTGCCATCAAAAGCTCAATAAAGAGAGCTTTAGTTGTCCTCAACTATCGCGGAATTTATGCCAATCAAAAGAGGAAAAAAAAAAAAAGTATATATAAAAAATTCACAGTAGAAAAGTTTCGTATCTTACCCTACAACTAAACCAATTTTATTTTTCAGCAATTAAAATAAAATTATTGGGTGGGAATAACACCACTTGATCATTTACTAATTGTTGCAAGTTAGGCAAGCAATTTTTCATAACAATTATTGCGTCGTTGATTATAAAATACTACAATAGTATAGTACATAGTATATTTTATACGCATGTTATAATATAAGTGTATGTTTATTAATATTATTCCTTAAAAATGAAGAAAATAAACCATGTCATACATCTATATTATAACACGTATACAAAATGTACCACGTGACTATACTACTGTAGTATGCTATAATTTCTCAATGAGCACTGGTAGCTGGAAGAAGCACAAGATTTTACATTTCATCATAATCTATTGTGGTACCACTTTCTTTTAGGCAGGACCTTGCCCAACCAAGACGAGCACGATAACAAAATGGGGTAATTGTTGGGATATCACATATTGCCAAACTTTTTTAACTACTAGCAGCTGAATCTCCAAAGTTAAATTTATTAATCCCTAAACATGGATTATTGATAACAGGAGGCAAAGCTCCCTTTAAATATAAAAATGTATAATGAGATTTTTGCTCACCGCTTTAACCCAAAATGTATTTTTATAATTCTTTTAAAAACATTGACACATGTCTAATCACTTTTTTCAAAAGATTCAAACTTTTTATAGGCATTCTCTTATTAACAGCCACCAGATCTCAAACCCAGCAGAATTTGACAGAAGCACCAGCGTCCAAGAGATCCAATGATGGGTATTATTATTATTGATTAGTTAAATTTTCTGTCGAGAAATACCAACTGGTAGATTTACTGAGTATAATGCTCCTAAGGAGCGAGAAGTAATAACCCTAGAAACTATGATTATTTCTATGGAACCAAAACAAAATGTATTTTATCCACTTTGTAATAATGATGAATGACAACGGACAAAATATGAAAGAGGAAAGAGTTTGACTGTGAAAAGCTTCTCCCCTCAGTTCTGCAAGTTAATAGTTACTTTTTCTTTTTCTTTTAAATTGGCTATGAAAGAGGAAAGAGTTTGACTATGAATTGAAGGGTAATAAATCAGAAAATAAATAAATAGACTGAGGTATACTTTTTTATTTTTAAAGTACAAGTGATTGGAGAGGAAGGTTAATACAAGTATTTATTGGGGATTTCTAACCCGCATAAGTAAATGTGAAAGGTATATCCCACTGGCAAAGGACACATTCTAACACCAGAGCAAGCTACCACTCAAACTTCACTCATTATATATAAAAGGACAACCCCCTCATCCCTTCCCAACTCCATCCAAACCCATCTCTTCCTCTCCCCCAATCACCCCATTCTCCAAAATGACCAGAATCAAAGACTTCTTGGCCAAAATGTCTGATTCAGGCAAACAAATATCCATCTCCAAGAAAAACAAGAAGCAACTCTTCATAGCCCTGGTCGCAGCAATCCTACTAGTTGGAGCTGTAATCGGCATTGTCACCGGAGTAAAGTCCCAAAACAAAAACTCCGGCGAAGACAGCGAGGCCTCCGCCGCCTCCCACGCTATACTTAAAAGATCATGCAGCTCCACCCTCTACCCTGACCTCTGCTTCTCCACCCTCGCCGCCCCCGGAGCCATCAAGAAAGTTTCGAGCCTGAAAGATGTCATAGAACTGTCCTTGAACATCACGACCACAGCCGTGGAGCACAATTTCTTCGCTGTCAAGAAGCTTTTGAAGTCCAGAAAGAAGCTCACGAAGCGCGAGAAGGTTGCTCTCCATGACTGCTTGGAGAACATTGATGAGACCCTCGATGAGCTCCATGCTGCTGTTGCAGATCTCCATCAGTACCCTAATAAGAATAAGTCTTTGACTCAGTATGCTGATGACCTCAAGACTCTCATCAGCTCCGCCATTACCAACCAGGAGACTTGCCTTGATGGGTTCTCTCATGACGAGGCTGATAAAAAAGTTCGCAAAGTTTTGGAGAAGGGGCAGGTACATCATGATCTATCCTTCAATATTTCTGTGTTTTTTAAAATAAATAAAAAAATGCAGAAGTCATAGTCTAAATTAATCTAATAATGATACAGGTACACGTAGAACAACTCTGCAGCAATGCATTGGCTATGATCAGGAACATGACAGATAATGATATTGCAAATGCCAGCAAAATGAATGTGAACCGGAAGCTCAAGGAGGAAGTGGTGGAAGAGAAGGAGTGGCCGGAGTGGCTGTCGGTGGCGGACAGGCGGCTGTTGCAGTCGTCGACTGTGACGCCCAACGTGGTGGTGGCAGCAGACGGCAGCGGGAATTACAAGACGGTGTCAGAAGCGGTGGCTGCTGCGCCAGAGAAGAGCAGCACTAGATATGTGATCAGAATAAAGGCAGGGGTGTACAGAGAAAATGTGGATGTGCCTAAGAAAAAGACCAACATCATGTTTTTGGGCGATGGGAGGACCACCACTATCATCACTGCAAGTAGAAACGTGGTGGATGGCAGCACAACTTTCAATTCTGCCACAGTTGGTAAGTCAAATTTTTGAATTTTGAATGTTCCTCCTAACTATTTTTGTTTATTTTATGTTCTTGATTTCTTCAACATATATTTGTATGGTGTGGGTGAGAGAGTCTGGGATAGAGCTCCATAAATGATATGTTATGTCATGTAAGCATAGGTAATTTCACTTTCTGCATTCCATAAATCTAGCAAGGTTGTTGTCGCTCACTTCAAAATGTAAATATTTTTCTCAAATTTTAAGACTCGATGTAACATCTGTTTTCGAGCATTAATTTTGAGTTAGATGATCACGTTTTGACATCTTATCTAATATCACCCAATATATATTGTTCATGCATTTAACCTGAGCTTGAGTGACCACACACGGGAGGAGGCGTGTTGAAACCTGTTCTTGATTTCTTCAACACATATTTGTATAGTGTGGGTGAGAGAGTCTGGGATAGAGCTCCGTAAATGATATGTTATGTCATGTAGGACTTGCATAGGTAATTTCACTTTTCTGCATACCATAAATCTAGCAAGGTTGTTGTTGCTCACTTCAAAATGCATACAATTTTCTCAAAAATTGTATGACCTACAAATTTTAAAACTTGATGTAACGTCCGTTTGCGAGCATTAATTTTGAGTTGGATGATCACATTTGGACATCTTATCTTATATCACCCAATGTATATCGTCCATGCATTTAACTTGAGTGACCTCACACGGGCGGAGGCATGTTGAAACCCACATAGTAAGTAGAAGCTTCCAGCTTTGCCTTAATTAGTATAACCAACCAGGGGTGTATCACAATGGTCAGAAGGACGGGTTAGGGCTAACTGTGAACTCAGAGGTCAGCTATTCGAATCCTATTGTTGTTGTGCGAGTTCTTGATTTACGAAACACACACATTGTGGGGCCAAGAGAGTGTGGGCCGGAGTTTACCTGACAGGGGTGGGTCCAATATGACCTTACCTTGAAGGGTACCTCCAGAGTCATTAAACCAAAACCAAAACTAATCATTATTGCAAGGAGAAGCCTAATCTCTCACTAAAATTATGGAAAGGGTTTTAACTTTTAGATTAGACGACTAAATTGTACCCTCTCTTTCCCCAAATAAACTTGATAGATATGAATATGTTCGGTGTAGTTCTTGAGAATTGTGTGTTCATGAAAATGAGGAAACAGATAGACTGATGTTTTTGTCGTGTCGTCGAGCTAGTTTCCATTCATTCTTTGGTTCTTTTATTTTTTTGGGTATGTTTTTGTCAGGTTCATAAACAAAAAGAGTGAAGGAAAAAATAAAAAAATAATTTCTCCTAAAATAGGTTGTTAAATTTCAGATATATGTCATTGCTGCAATTTGAAATGTCTCTCTCGTCATGTCTATGTCTGTATTTGATGAATGTCGGTGTGGTTTACAGCTAGGCCCAGGCCCCTTTCTCTTTAAACTTTTTGTGCTTAATATGACTTTTTCATGCCTCTCTTTTTAATAAATAAATCTTAACCCAAAACATTTTTTGTCTCCTTTTTTTGTTCGCATATCCTCCTAGTACTAGTAGCAGGATCCTTCTCAGATGCTTCCTTCTACTTTGTTTTTTTATTTTAATGTTGCTTCCTTCAATCATGGTGAATTTAAGCCCTAAATTAAGGCTCCAAACTCAAACTAAGGTTAGCTACTCACCGACACTCAATTTTAGGCCATAATCTTTGACCGATCACTTAAGCTGTCTCTGTTTCGTGCGGACATTCATCCACGTTGCTAGATTCTGTTCACAGATTAAATGGAGCACATGGGTTTCATTCCTTTGTTTGGATCTAATACTAATAGTGTTTGGATTAGGCTGTTTACGAATATAATTCTTTATGTTTGCAGCTGCGGTTGGGGAAAAATTCCTAGCCCGGGACATAACCTTCCAAAACACAGCTGGTCCATCAAAGCACCAAGCCGTTGCCCTAAGAGTCGGGTCCGATCTCTCAGCATTCTACCGAGTTGACGTTCTTGCATACCAAGACTCACTCTACGTTCACTCGAATCGCCAATTTTTCGAAGGCTGCTTAGTAGCAGGAACAGTTGATTTCATCTTTGGCAATGCTGCTGTGGTGCTACAAAACTGTGACATCCATGCAAGGAAACCCGATTCGGGCCAGAAAAACATGGTGACAGCCCAGGGCCGAACGGACCCAAACCAAAACACCGGCATTGTGATCCAAAAATCCAGAATTGGAGCCACTTCTGACCTGCAGGCTGTAAAGGGCAGTTTCAAAACATTCTTGGGTAGGCCGTGGAAGGAATATTCAAGGACTGTGATCATGCAATCTGCCATAAGTGATATCATCGACCCAGCTGGGTGGCATGAGTGGAGTGGCACATTTGCCCTCGACACATTGTTTTATGGAGAGTATGCTAACACTGGGGCTGGTGCTGGGACTTCAAATAGGGTGACCTGGAAGGGCTTTAAGGTAATTACAAGTGCCACTGAGGCTCAGACTTTCACACCTGGCAGCTTCATTGCTGGTGGTAGCTGGTTGAGTTCAACTGGTTTCCCATTTTCTCTTGGTTTGTAGATTCTAAATTAATTATTAAGCATGTTTTTAGCTGGGGGGTGCTGTATTCTTGTAATTCTAGCTAAGCTGGTGTTGTTTGAGTGTGTTGTCCGGCCTTTGATTGTAGCATCACTTGAACTCCATGTGTTAGTAATTAATAAGAGCATCTTTTATTTTGCCATTAAATTTTGTTTGGATTGGATTGATATTATTTTCAAAATTACAGTCAGCTACAATAGAATAGTTTGGTTTGGTTTGATTTTAATAAAAAATACTTAAGAAATTGAACTAAACTGAAACAATGTTGGACGGTTTGGTTTGGGCAATTTGGGCACAAGCCCAATCCTTTTTTTTTTTTGGTTAGTTTTTAACTTTATTAGTCCAATAACAATCAAATGATTCCATAACCTACTGCATATTTTTCATTCTACTACACAAACCATCCTAAAATTTAATAGCTAATATATCGAAAGATCAATAAATTCAAAATTTCATCAAACTTTAAAATTATTATTTTTATTTAATTATTAGTCAATAAGAGGACTACAAGTGTAAAATAAACTAATATAAGAATAAATATACACGTGACCCGTCATGCTTAATTTAGGCCTGGTTTATAAAAGCTCAAGATCGCAACTGAACCAAATCATTACAATTCGAATTTATTCGGGACGGTTAATTTTTATTGTGGTAAAAATCGAACCAAATCGGCTAACATGTAGTACATTTCAGTCCAAACAAACCATTTGGGCTATGCAGTCCCATGGTGCCTCATTGGGCCGGGCTAGCCCAGCCCGGCCCATTGCCGATCCCTAATTTCAGTCCAAATAAACCATTTGGGCTATGCAGTCCAATGGTGCCTCATTAGGCCCATTGAGTTGCTCATGGGCTGGACTCTTGGTTTCACATTGTGAATTTAATGAGCCAGAGGCTAGAGTGTTCAGACTTTAGAGGATCTATGCTTTGGTAGGTGGTAGACCCTCCTATGTTGGAAACTTGAAAAGACATTTTCAAGGCTTTTAAGCTGGCAGATGTATGAGGAATGGGCTTGCACATGGACTTGGTGCAAAAACAAAAGGGGGATAAATACTGCTGTTTTTAGAATCCCAACCTTTCACGTCACATAGTATCTGAAGGTTTTTGGAAGGGTTTGTAGAACCTGCATATTGCTCCAAACTCAAGCATTTGCTCTGGCCACCTTGTCCATTTCATTGTCCAACTTACTACATGGGGAGAAATAATTGCCAAGCATCCAATTTGTCATTTTTGTAAAAGTCTGAACTTATTGGCATTTGGCAAGCATATTTTAAATTTTTGTTTGTTCGGCTTAATTAATGGTATATCTCTTCTCAACGTTGGAAGAGGTTTTGCGAGTCGAGTTCTTTGTCACAAGTCTAGGGTTGTATTGGTCGGTGTATCTTAGTGCGTGATGCTCTTCCTCCTATATAAGCCGCTGCGTCCATCAGCAAACTGAGTATTTTTTTCAAGTTTCAGCCGTCTTCTCGTAGCACTGGCTTTGTTTTGTTTTGGGCCTTTTAGCCGTTTTGGTTTATCTTTTCTTGTACCATGCCATCATTTAGAAAAATAAAATTGTCAATGTATGGCCTTTCACATCAGCACATGGCATTGACGTATATTATTAATATGCCACTATCCCCCACCCAGAAAGAAAAAAATAAAAATCAGAGAAAGGGAAATTGAGAATGAGTCCAATTGAAAAGGACCTTATAAATTGCAAAGTGTTAATGTCACAAGCTAGCAGTGTTTGTGGTTATATGCCGCAAGGCAAGGCAAGATATGTTCAGATTGTTGCTTCAAAACGTTTGAGTGAACGATATCTGCTCAAACTTTTCCGTTTATGAGATTTGAAGTCAGGATCTCTAGTTTGACAAAACGAAAACGTCATTGTAAACTTTTGGTATGTTTGAAATGGATGGAATTGATCATTCGATGAATAAAACAGAACAAAAGATGCACAACCATATTGCCTCCCATCTCATGTTGGTACTAGTTGAAAATGTCTACACCATATAATATATTTCTGAACTTGTGATCAAAATAAAACCCCTTTCTTTAATTTCTTGCATATATAAAAATAGTATATGGATGACATGTTGTGGTACATGGGAAATGAACGAAGAATAAGTTCAAAAGGGGTTCACTCGTTTTGCTTGGTGGCAGCAGAAACCCATTTAACAATTTGATTTGATTTTGATTGGTCCATTTGGCAGCTGGTTGTTGTTTCATACGTAGGAGATTACTTGCAATTTTGAACTAAATTGTATTTGACCAAAAACAAAAAAACAAACCAAATTATAAAGGGAAATTGAGAATGAGTCCAATTGAAAAGGACCTTATAAATTGCAAAGTGTTAATGTCACAAGCTAGCAGTGTTTGTGGTTATATGCCGCAAGGCAAGGCAAGATATGTTCAGATTGTTGCTTCAAAACGTTTGAGTGAACGATATCTGCTCAAACTTTTCCGTTTATGAGATTTGAAGTCAGGATCTCTAGTTTGACAAAACGAAAACGTCATTGTAAACTTTTGGTATGTTTGAAATGGATGGAATTGATCATTCGATGAATAAAACAGAACAAAAGATGCACAACCATATTGCACCGGCTTCCCAATACTAATTATGAAATGCAGAGCCTCCCATCTCAAGTTGGTACTAGTTGAAAATGTCTACACCATATAATATATTTCTGAACTTGTGATCAAAATAAAACCCCTTTCTTTAATTTCTTGCATATATAAAAATAGTATATGGAAATGAACGAAGAATAGGTTCAAAGGGGTTCCCTCGTTTTGCTTGGTGGCAGCAGAAACCCATTTAACAATTTGATTTGATTTTGATTGGTCCAGCTGGATCCATCCTCATCATCTACCTACATTATCTCCACTAAAACCGTGTATGCCAAATGCAACATATGCTTATCAATTCAAGTCCATCTCCACCGTCCATTCATCCAACGTATTCAAATTATAACTCAAAATTGATTTGGCTCATAATCTTTTTTTATAATGAACCGTGATTATGGGCTTTCAATGTAAACACCTTCTGGTAATGGTAAATCAATTGTCATCATATCATCAAATCATGATCTTCATCTTAAGAAATAATAAAATCATAAAGCTATTCTAACTTTAGCTAACTAATAAACTTAACAATCGCTCGTGGAAATAGACTTCCTTATCACAGATTTCTGACCTTCTTATTTTGATCTCTCTAAATCTAATTACGTAAATAGGCAAGTTAAATTCCACAATACAAAGAATGAGTTAATAAACGCTGTATATGCAAGTTCATTTCCATGTGCTTTGCGAGGATTTGAGTGTAGGGTTTTATTCCATAATTTAGTTTTTTAATTATATTCTTACCGACTCTTTAGTGGTAATTTAATCCAATGAAAACCTCATACAATTTTGAAAGTGAAAATATACATAATTTAGATAGGTCGAATATTAGATACGTGTATCATATTTGATTCACTCGTAAGGTTCTACAGATGGTAATGGATTAGGTGCATAGGTAAAAGGAATTACTTTCTCGAATAGCAATGGTCACTCAACTTCCTATCTATACCTGTCCAATGGCAATACCTATTTTATTTTATTTTATTTGTCTGAACCACGAGGTTCCGTGATTATGGGCTTTCAATGTAAACACCTTCTGGTAATGGTAAATCAATTGTCATCATATCATCAAATCATGATCTTCATCTTAAGAAATAATAAAATCATAAAGCTATTCTAACTTTAGCTAACTAATAAACTTAACAATCGCTCGTGGAAATAGACTTCCTTGTCACAAATTTCTGACCTTCTTATTTTGATCTCTCTAAATCCAATTACGTAAATAGGCAAGTTAAATTCCACAATAGAAAGAATGAGTTAATAAAAGCTGTATATGCAAGTTCATTCCCATGTGCTTTGCGAGGATTTGAGTGTAGGGTTTTATTCTATAAAGCCGACTCTTAGTTTTTGAATTATATTCTTACCGACTCTTTAGTGGTAATTTAATCCAATGAATTTTTATAAAAAAAAAAGAAAAAAAAGAAAACCTCATACAATTTTGAAAGTGAAAATATACATAATTTAGATAGGTCAAATATTGGATACGTGTATTATATTTGATTCACTCGTAAATAATTTTGTCGGGGTTCTACAGATGGTAATGGATTATGTGCATAGGTAAAAGGAATTACTTTCTCCAATAGCAATGGTCACTCAACTTCCTATCTATACCTGTCCAATGGCAATACCAATTTTATTTTATTTTTTTTGTCTGAATCACGAGGTGGTCCCGGATGGGTCCTAACTATGGGTGACACCTTTAAGCTTTAACCACAACCCAGACTAATCCCCGCTCACACCGAGTCGGCCCGTAATGGATAAAGTGCTGGCCAAAGTGGTGACTCCATACGAGAGCAGAGATTGAACCCCTGACTTCTCTTAAGGAATGAGAGTGCCGAACCACTCACACCAACCACCTTGGTTAATGGCAATACCAATTGAGTTTAACATAATCAAGTAAACAATGATTAATTTATTTTTTTTGTCACTTTTGATTTGGATTTTGAGAAATTTTTTAGGTAAATTGATAGTCCAGTGATTAATTTGGCTAAATGCTTTTTTTCGGTGACTAAATTGAGATTTCGTGTAAAATTCAGTGCTGGAAAGATATTTAACCCAATAAACAAATATTGATTGAACTGATTCCAAGGGGCAATTTCAACCCCTGTGCTGACTGAGAGGATTAACTAAGGATGTTTTCATTCACAGACATCATGGATCACAATCAAATATAAAATTAATTAAAATTCTTAAGCAAGAAGCATCAAGGAAATGTCTTTTTTCTCTCTCTCTCTCTCTATTTTGCCTCACTTTTATAAAAGGGGGAACCAAAAACATCTCAACACACCCGCACTTTGTCCAAAAGCATCCCCAAATCTCAGCTCCGTAAACAAAACCCATCAAACCAAAGGCAGAGCAAAACACAGAAGAAGAAGAAGAACAGCAAACATGGACTCTATGAAGTCCTTCAAGGGCTATGGCAAAGTGGACGAGCTCGAAGAACAAGCCTTCCGGCGGAAGGCACGCAAGCGTGTCATCATCCTCACTGTCTCCACTATTGTTCTGTTGGCGGTGATCATCGGCGCCGTCGCCGGAGTATTGATACACAAGCGGAGCAACTCGTCGTCTCCCACGCCCAACTCGGCCCCCACGACTGAGTTGACTCCATCCGCTTCACTCAAGGCCGTTTGCGACGTGACCCAGTACCCGAATTCGTGTTTCTCGAGCATCTCTTCGCTCGAGACCTCGAACACCTCCGACCCAGAAGTGATTTTCAAGCTCTCTCTGCACGTCGCCATTAAAGCGGCCTCGAAGCTTGCTGGGTTTCCTTCCAAATTCAGACGGCAAGCTGGTAATGACAACCGTCTGAATGGAACTCTGAGCGTCTGCGAGAGCCTATTTGAAGATGTGGTTGACAGGCTCAACGACTCGTTGTCCTCCATGGATGTGAACCAGGGCGAGAAGCTTTTGTCCGCTGCCAAAATCGACGACCTCAAGACCTGGCTCAGCACTACCTTGACTGACCAAGAGACTTGTTTGGACTCTCTGCAAGATCTCAACTCAACCCTTGTTCAGGAATTCAAGGTTGCGATGCAGAATTCCACTGAATTCTCCAGCAACAGCTTGGCCATTGTGGCTAAAATTCTGGGTCTGCTGACGAATTTGAACATTCCCGTGCACAGGAGGTTGCTCGGGGTTGGAGGATCCGAGATGGGTTTTCCGGAGTGGGTTGGCCCGGGAGATAGGAGGCTGCTGGAGGACAACAACGTGACTGCTCAAGTGATTGTGGCCAAGGATGGGACTGGGCGCTTCATGACGATTAAAGAGGCTGTGGAGGCTGTGCCCAAGAAGAGCACAACCAGGTTTGTGATTCATGTGAAGCAAGGAGTTTATAATGAGAATGTGTTGATGGACAAGAGCAAGTGGAATGTGATGATGGTTGGAGATGGCAAGGATAAGACCATAGTTAATGGCAGCTTGAACTTTGTGGATGGCACCCCCACCTTCTCCACAGCCACTTTTGGTAACAATTCTTACTTACCACCTTCAATTTGATCTTCTGTTAATTTGGTTTTTTAATTTGTTCTGTCATTGATTGTTCATTTCAGTTTGATTTCATTCTTGCTGTGATATAGAACAATGAGACTAGCAGTGAGGAGAGACAAGGCATTTTGTGCATATCAGAAACACTAGAACACTAACTAGCTAGGCTGTCCTCCAAGTATCAAGCCATTTTAACATGGCTGTTGTTGGTTACCAATTCATCTTAGTTTCTTTCCCTGTAGAGAGAACTGAAGGAAATCCAATGTCGGAATGTGCCATGTGAAACCTTCAGGTTGAGCTAGGAAGGAAGCCATAGACATTAGACACCAAGTTGCCTCTCTGAATTTGATGATATTGGTATGATAGGGTTAATTAGGAACCAGCCACATGGTTTATGCATCTTCATGTTAACTCTCACCTAAAAATTCGATATCCTCTTCTTCTACTGCTGTTATTGTTTTGTTTTGTTTATTTTATTTTCTATGAAAAGATCAATGCTGCTTTGAATACCATTAAAATAGACTGGATATCTGGGTGATGTGTGGACGGTTGATGCCCCAACCATGTGCATGTCTGGATTATGCTTTATATATTGCTTGTTGTTCATATGGTGGACCCATTTGTTCCATATTTAATCTACATTTCAAGTTAAGTATAGCAAAGGCCTGCTTGACCCGAAATGCAAGTGTTGTCCTATATCCTGCATGACGCATGTGGTGGATGAGCTGACTTTTTCTTATTGATTGTCTGAAATTATGTTATGTTGCTGAATATTTGCATGTCAAGCGCTCATGTTGCATAGCACTTAATTCCTTCCATTGTAGAGGGAAACAAAGAAGAAGGGAAGTTTGGTACAGAAGTAATTAAACAAAGCAGGTTGCAGATTCTGTGCCCTGTGGTTCTTGTTGGCCCGCACCACAATCATCAAAAACAATAATTCCCCACTTGGTTTCTTTACACATTCAGATTAGAGAAAGCCCCCCAAAAATTGTCAAGCAATTAGGACAGTTCCGTGCGTAGTTGCATTCACATTCCCTTAGAAATTGTGTTAGATTTCAAGTTTTCAGACTGAGAGACATGTGAGAGAGACTTTTGTTTTGATTCAAATTGTTAGAACTTTTTGACATTCAAGCTCACATATCAAGTATTTGAATTCTTACTGTGATTACCTATTGGATCACCAGCCGTAGCAGGAAAAGGCTTCATCGCAAAAGACATGGGGTTCATCAACACTGCAGGACCAGCAAAGCACCAAGCAGTAGCATTCCGCTCTGGCTCCGACCTCTCGGTATACTTCAAATGCTCCTTTTCTGGTTACCAAGACACCCTCTATGCACATTCCAATCGACAGTTCTATCGCGAATGTGACATCACTGGCACCATAGACTTCATTTTTGGCAATGCTGCTGTGGTCTTCCAGAACTGTAACATTATGGCGAGGCAGCCTATGTCAAACCAGTTCAACACCATCACAGCTCAAGGCAAAAAGGACCCAAATCAGAACACTGGCATTTCAATTCAAAAGTGCAAAATCTCTGCTCTAGATGCTAATCTCACAGCTCCAACATATCTGGGTAGGCCTTGGAAAGAGTTTTCCACCACAGTCTTCATGCAGTCTGATATTGGGTCATTCTTGAACCCAAAGGGCTGGACAGAATGGGTTTCCAATGTTGAGCCGCCCAACACTATATATTATGCAGAGTACCAAAACAGTGGGCCTGGATCAAGTGTGGAACAGAGGGTTAAATGGGCTGGTTATAAGCCTTCTCTGACAGATACGGAAGCAGCCAAGTTCACAGTGGAGTCATTGATCCAAGGCGGTGATTGGTTGCCAGAAGCTAATGTGGAATTTGACTCATCCTTGTGATCCAAGAAATCAAAAGACTGGGTTGAGGCACAGCTATAATGAAATTGTTCAGAAATTAAAATCTTCTAGAAAGAATGCTTTAATATTTTCTCTTTGTAACATTGCAGTTGGTAGCCTGCACGACACAAATCTGTGGCACTTTGTGTGTATCCCGTTCTCTTTCACCCTTCTTTTCCAATTCCCCCTGGAAAAATCATGTACTTAAATTCTTTTTGTCACACTTAAAAATACATCAAAAATCCTGATCATGAATGAGTTGAACATAGTTTGCAGAGTAAATTCTTGTTCTCTCTCATTTCAGCATCTTGAAAATCAATTGTTTTCAAAGAAAAAGTTAGTACACATGAGGAGTTAGATGAATAACTTAAAAAGATTTGATGCGGGTGTGAGAAAAGAGGATGGGTAGGTGGTCGGGTAGGAGTGTTTATGAATCTCTCTTTTTCTTGCAGGACACTGATCTTTAGTTCTTGGGTATATTATTACCTTTTCTTGGTGAATAAGTTTTTGGATATTTACATTGCTTGGTACAAAAGTTAATTTTTATTTTAACCAAAACTAAACTTATCAACCAAAAGAAACAAACAAAAGGGTGACCACAAACCCTAAGTTGTCATGTCCTAATGGCCATACATAGACCCAAAAAAATAAAAAATCATAGAAAATGCAAATTCCCCATAATACCCCTGCTGTTGAACTAAACAACTGTAATCTGGATATATCCAAAAAGAGCTGCAAAAGGAAAGTAAAAAACCAAAGACAAAGAGGCATGGTGAAAATCTAATCTAATATAAGCAGGTGGTCACGTTCCGCGGGCGATGTCAAAGCGTGGACTAGTAAACACCGAACACCAAACAACCAAGTGGTGGGCTTTTGTTGAAGATTGTGCCCAGAAAATTATTTGCCCTTTGCATCACATCACATCTGTGATATCTTCACACGTATAAATCTCACTGCTTTGCATATAAAAACAGTCCCAGAATGCGGAAATTCGGGAGCGGCAGACTCAGAAGCCTTCTCATCCATTCTTTTCAGCAAAAGCATATTCTTCGTCCACATCACCCAAGCTCCTTGCTTTCTTCTTCTCTCCCACGTTTCTTGTCTTCCTCTACTCCAGTCCTAGATTTCCCTCCTTCTTCTACTTCTTCCATGGCTGACCCCTCTGCTTCCAAGCTCCCTGTCACTCTTCAGAACATAAATCCCAAGGTTTGTGCTTTTTCCTGAGTTGGGTTTTTGTTATTTTGTTTATCTTTGCTGTTTATCTGCTTATTCCTGTTTATTTTTGTGTATATTTGATAATCTGTTCACTGTTTGATTGTCTGTGTAGATGGTCAAAGGTGTTTGATTTAATGTTTCTGCATCTGGGCTGCTTTGATTTGTTTGTTGTTTTTTCTCTTGGGATTTATGCTCTGATTATTTTATGCAAAGCAGTTCCTTTCTTTGGCTTTAGTTTTCATGTTTTCCCAAAAAAGAAAAAAGATTGATGATATGGATTACTTTGGACCCGAGTTCTTTTTTTCGACAAATTCATCTGACTGATCACTCATATTTGGGTCATTCTGATTGGATCTTTGATTTTTTATTTTTAATTTTATCGAGTTTGTAAGTTAATTGGTTCGTTCTCTAGTTTTTATTTCTCACTGTCAAATACTAGTAATTGTGGACATCTTCTAGTCCATTTATCATTCATTGGCCAGCTCACTCCGCACTACTAACTTTCTGTGTCTTACAGATTTTGAAATGTGAATATGCTGTCCGAGGTGAAATTGTCACCCTTGCCCAGGTACATGACTATATCGAAAATTTAATGCCTGAATCTCAGTGAAGTAATTTCTCTTCTTTTTATCATAATCTTCTTTGTAATATCCTCCTGTCACAGAGGTTACAAGAAGAATTACTGGCTAATCCAGGCTCTCATCCCTTTGACGAGGTGTGTTTTCTTTCTCCTTTGATGAGTTACAGCTTTCCATATTGACTCCCTAGTTTATAGGGCATTGTCACTTGGGTACTCACTTTCAATTATATGTTATACAGATACTTTACTGCAACATTGGAAATCCCCAGTCTCTTGGTCAGCATCCAATAACCTTTTTCCGAGAGGTTGGTTTATTGTTGGACTACATGGTAGATATCAAATAATGCTACAGCATCTCATGCAATCCTTAATTATTATAATCATTGTGTCAGGTACTTGCATTATGTGACCATCCATCCATCTTGGACAAAAGCGAAACACAGGGTCTATTCAGGTATTGGAAATTTTTATGCAATCTGCTTGGCTGATTCTTAGATGAACTGCGATTAAAATCCATCTGAAGATAATGTGACTGGTTTAATTGAATGTGTCAACAGAAATTTTTTGCCATTATATCATTTGCATGTATAACATATAAGGTCAAATATTTTAGGCAGCCTTACAATCCTCTAGGAATCCATAGAAAAGTCTTCCTAGAAGTTAAATCTTATCTTTATGTGGATATCTTTGTTACCTGTTGCAGTGCAGATGCAATAGAGCGGGCATGGCAGATTCTAGATCAAATTCCTGGAAGAGCAACTGGTGCATACAGTCATAGTCAGGTAATGATCCCGTACAGAATTTTGTAAAACTTATGCAGAACTCATAAGTGATATGTCATATGATTCACGGCCCCTCTTCGCCCACTTTGGCATCAGGGTATCAAGGGTTTACGTGATACAATTGCTGCTGGAATTGAAGCTCGTGACGGATATCCTGCTGATCCAAATGATATTTTCTTAACAGATGGTGCAAGCCCTGCGGTATGTCCTGACTTCCATTCTGTTCAATTTTAGTGACGTCCCAATGTTCCTGAATATGTTAAGTTGCACATCGCACCACTCATAACACATCATGTCCATTTCTCTCTTGCCAGGTCCATATGATGATGCAATTGCTGATAAGCTCAGAGCAGGATGGGATTCTTTGTCCCATTCCTCAATACCCTTTGTACTCTGCTTCAATTGCCCTCCACGGTGGTACACTGGTATGTCTGGATTTTAAGAGATTTATTCAGATGCTCAATGTCAATAAATATAAAATGTTTGGCATTTATACTCGAGCACTAACTTGTTATTGGATAAAGCTCGAGTTTTTATTGAACTGAATAGTGAATTGCCTGATTATTTAAAAAAAGGACGTTACATGACTGCCAGAAACTAGAAGTTGGAAAATAATTCTCTTTTATATACCATTTAACGTTGTAAGAACATTCAAATCTGTGGTCCGATGTATGCAGGTTCCTTACTTCCTTGATGAGGCATCAGGGTGGGGATTGGAAACTTCTGAGTTGAAGAAGCAATTGGAGGACGCAAGGTCCAAGGGTATCAACCCAAGGGCCTTGGTTGTTATAAATCCAGGCAACCCAACAGGGCAGGTAAGCTATGAATTGCTTTTTGACCTTCAAAATCCTTGTCGACAAAAGAGTTTTCTCAAGGGGTTGCTATTGGAAGAGAAGCTTGTGCTTAATCTAGAATAGTCATTGGTTGAGTGTTTTGGTATCTTGTCTGCAGGTGCTTGCTGAGGACAACCAGCGGCAGATTGTGGAATTCTGCAAGCAAGAAGGTCTTGTTTTGCTGGCAGATGAGGTAGACGGATTGTTCTTTGGATAATTAACTTCAATTACTTTGCAACATTGTTGGAGCATTGTAATTGTCATCAGAAACTTCTATAGGTACTTTATGGGCTAATATTTTCAGTGTATTTTATACAGGTTTATCAAGAAAATGTTTATGTACCTGATAAGGAGTTTCATTCATTCAAGAAGGTATCCCGGTCTATGGGATATGGCGAAAAGGATATTTCTCTGATATCATTTCAATCAGTATCTAAAGGTAATTTGTTGGGTTCTTATGCTGTCATGGTGGAAAGAGAGTAGCTCATGAAAATCAATGAATTTGGGACAATTTATCATTGTTTCTTTTTTGGATGTAGGGTACTACGGGGAGTGTGGAAAAAGAGGCGGTTACATGGAAGTAACTGGTATCAGTCCTGACGTAAGGGAACAAATATACAAAGTGGCGTCTGTGAATCTTTGTTCTAACATCTCTGGTCAAATTCTTGCAAGCCTTGTCATGAGTCCACCAAAGGTCATTTTTCTCTCTTTAAAAAATGTTGTATTTACTTGTTTCATAGAAATTTACAATGGGTTTAGAATTGAGGATCAAACATGCTCAAGTATCTTAAAGTAGGTTAAAATGTTGGAACCTCCGAAGTGGAAACAGGCATCTTCTAGTTTGAAACCAGTCGGCATTCACTTGTGATAGTTTTGAGGCTTTTTTAGTTAGTTGGACTAATAAATTTTCAAACATCTAAGTCAGAATTGATTTGACCGTGTTCACTAGTGCTTCTGTTAGTGTACAATTGGGGCTTTGGAGGAGTACATTTTTCTTTGTTATTGCCCTTAACTTCGTTACACAGGGCATAAGGATTTGGAAACTTGGTCTTAAAATTGGTAGATCGAATACGTTTATTTTCTTTGATATTATCATCTGGATCATTTTTCCCACGGAGGAAGTTTCATGGTTGAATGCAGGTTGGAGATGAATCCTATGAATTGTATTGTGCAGAGAAAGATGGAATCCTGTCCTCCCTAGCAAGGCGTGCAAAGGTTAGTACTTATTAGTATGAAATGGTAAACACAATAACATGATATTATTTTCTGTTGATCTTTCTTAATAGCAGGACTGATTATGCTTCATTTCTCCCATATTTTGTTTTTATTCTATTAATTGTATTTTTTTAAACAGACTTTAGAAGATGCGTTGAACAACTTAGAGGGTGTGACATGCAACAGAGCAGAAGGGGCAATGTATCTCTTTCCCCGCATAAACCTACCTCAAAAGGCAATTAAAGCAGCAGAGGCAGCAAATACAGCTCCAGATGCATTCTATTGTCGCCGCCTTCTCAATGCCACAGGAATCGTGGTTGTTCCTGGTTCTGGTTTCGGGCAGGTTAGTTTTATCTAATTCTTTCTGGTACTGTTTCTTAGTGTGTCAGGAAATGGTTGCTGACCTAAATTGGAAATAATTTGCAGCAGATCAAGTGGTCATACAATATTATTTGTTTGGCATCTATAATTCTAATAAGCAATGATAAGTGAACCACATTCATAACAGTGGAATGTTTAAATCTTTAGTGTGCTAGGGGATGAAAAATATGGTCCCGTAAAAGTTGGTGATTGAATAGGATCACATTTAGTTAAACAAAAATATGAAGTGTAGACAAATCCTTAATTTTGTTGTTTACGATTCTGTGAACGTCAGTAAGATAGTGTGAGATATACTTTGGTTTGATTTTTCATAATTTTATTTTAAACTGAAGATTGTTTACATTTCAATCCACTGTGACAGGTTCCTGGCACCTGGCATTTTAGGTGCACAATATTGCCTCAAGAGGATAAAATTCCAGCCATCGTCACCCGTCTGACAGACTTCCACAAGTCATTCATGGACGAGTTTCGCAACTAGAAAATTCCCAGTTTGGTCTTTCAGGATAAGCGATGTAGTGGGCATTCATTTAAAGGAGACGAACATTTGTGTGAAGCCCCTATGATCCTTTATTTTTGTGGAGGATAGACATGTTTGGGTACAGTCTTACTAGACGTGATGAGAATAATATCTTTTCTTACAAGGCTTAAGGTTTGAATGGCATCAAGTTGTGCAATTGTTTTTATTTATTTATTGGTTTTGTTTGGATTTAAGCAGCAGCACCACCCTCAAAATTGACCCTGTTCTACCAAGCATTGGTTGCAAATAACATAAAGTATATCAACAAATAAAAAGGATTAAACTTTGGCCCTTTTATTTTATTTTATGGAATTTGAAATGCTGCAACTGTACATGGTTTAAGGAATTTGGCAGGCCAGGGAACATTTTCTGTTGCCCGTGTAATTGTGGATGGATTCAGAGAGTTTCTCATGGCCGCACATTGCTTTCAAAGCCAAGGCCAAGAGTGGTGGTTGGTGATTGGTCTCTTTCATCTTCCATGATTATATTCACTTAGGTGGCAATCTTCAAAATTCAAGGGTTGCTTAAAACATCTCATCTTCTATTAAAACATCACAGCTTTGCCACGGGGAGTGGAAAATGACATTGAAGTTGCTTGTATTAAAATTAAAATTTAAAAAAATAAAAAATCACGTCTTTAAAGTTGAATTGTTTTCTTCTTTGGTTTTTCTGCAATTTTTTTTTGGGGGGGTGGGGCTAGAGGAGTTTACTTATGGCTATGAATGCTATTATTGACTCATTAGCCTTTATACAAACCAATTAAATGGTACAGGTCTTTACCACCATTATATGACTTTTCCAGAGGCTCTGCTCATTGCATCCAAATTATAATGCCCCACTGTTTTCTGGTGTTGATCTTAGTCAGACTCTATTATGGATTCCATGTGGTCCAACAAATACCACCAACCAACAATCCATACAATTTTACACCAAAAAAACTTCCCTAAGAACTTTAAGAGTCGCTGCCTTTTGCAAGAGTGACAAGAGGACCAACTTTTGCCAACTGTTGGACACATTTTGATGTTCAAAAGTTGATATAATAGTTGGTGGGTGATATAAAACGGTATTGGCCAAAACAGTGCAGCTTTTATCAAATCTTTAGTCTCCTTGCGTAATGCGTGGTAAAGAAATTATGGACATCTTTCTTGCTAAAGTATGCTTTTCTTCTTGTTCAGAGCATGCTGTTGTTGTTTTTAGCCGGTCATGAAGTAAATGAGTCTCTTAATTTCACTGCCACATGTAAAGCTCTCATTACTCCTGCATGGATCGATGGGTAGGCCCCGAGTTCCAGTTTCCAAGTTCCAACAACAAGAAGAGGAAAGAAAATGTTGGGTTTCAGATGCTGGGATAAAAAGACAACAACAGAGAAAGCACGGGACAGATCTGCATGCACAGTTTTGCGGGCTTCAGATGTTTGCTCTGGAATCACATGTGATCTTTTTTATGCAGGTTTTTATTTATGTTAAATTTTGGAGAGACGGGTTAGCGGTTTACTACTGGCAACACCAATATTGTCTTTAACTTAATCACCTATAAAACCCAGTAAATATAAGATTTTATCACAAAAGACTTCAGTGATATTAATAGTAGAACCATTCATTTTATGTTATATTTTATTTAGTCAAGTTTTGGATATAGGACTTATATTCTTCAATAATTTAGATCCCATTTTGTTTATACCATCTTTAACCAACCAACCAGAAACTGACATGTGGAACTGGGGACCCACAAAGGCGCTTATCTAGGCAATCTATTTCGTCCCACAAAATACCTCGGCAGGTTGTGAGCCTTCGATTAGGGATGACAACGGGCTGGTGCCATACCCGTCCCAGCTCCTTATCCCCGCACCCGTCCCGCCCCAATCCTCGATAAGAAATTTCGGGGAATCCCCGTCCCCGTCCCCATCGGGGGGTTGTTTCCCAAACCTGCCCCAAATCCCTGGTTTTTATTTATTAAAAATATACTACACTCAATTTTGACCAAAAAATAAACTGAATTACATTCAATTAAATCATAAAATTCAACTTAACTACTTAAAATCATCTAAACAATTTGACAAACTAATAGAAATCATATATTCCACAATCAAAACTAAATATTTTGTCTCAAAATACTTATTTTACTGCTAAACTTAACAACAACAAAACACAGTAAAGACCTTCGAAAATAAAAGATAAAAACAAAAACAAAAACAGGTAGCACTATAGCACTAGCACCGTAGCTTTATCAGACAATATGAAATGGAAGGAGGTTCTAATAACGAAGGGAGAACACATAAAAAAATAATTTCCATATGTTTCTTGGTCAACCAAGAAAATCATGAATTGTTTCCTATTGGTTTATTAAAATATATATTCTATATTCTATATTCATTAATTAAAAAAATTATATATATCACTAATTGGGCCGGATTCGGGTATGGGGACAACGATACCATTGTCTTCTCAGACGATCCTAAAGTCCCACATCGAAATCTCACCCAAGATGCACATCTTCCAAAATCTATAAAAGAGGGCACAAGTCCCCAGAACAAGGTAATTGTGACATTCGATTAATTAGCCATAACTTTGTCCAGATTACTATTTACTTAATACTAACTTAAGCATCAGATAGCTTTCTTTGTTTCGCGGCTTATCCATCTTGCCAAAAAGCACACACAGCCCAAAAGGCGACAACATCATTAAATTGAGCCCAAAAGTGTCCGAACATTTTTTAGCATCAACATGTTTTAATTTGTATTTTGGATTGAAACTTCATTGTCATGTACCTTCTAGTTACATGGATGAGATTGGGGAAAGGTAAATCCCATTTTCTGATTCCCCTTGTAGCAAAAAGAGACATCGAAGAGCTTTCTTTGTTTCGCAACTTATCCATCTTACCAAAGAGCACACACAGCCCAAAAGGCGAAAACATCATTAAATTGAGCCCAAAAGTGTCCGACCATTTTTTTAGCATTAACATGTTTTAATTTGTATTTTGGATTGAAACTTCATTGTCATGTACCTTCTAGTTACATGGATGAGATTGGTGAAAGGTAAATCCCATTTTTTGATTCCCCTTGTAGCAAAAAGAGAATACTTGATACTAACTTAAGCATCGAAGAGCTTTCTTTGTTTCGCAACTTATCCATCTTACCAAAGAGCACACACAGCCCAAAAGGCGAAAACATCATTAAATTGAGCCCAAAAGTGTCCGACCATTTTTTTAGCATTAACATGTTTTAATTTGTATTTTGGATTGAAACTTCATTGTCATGTACCTTCTAGTTACATGGATGAGATTGGGGAAAGGTAAATCCCATTTTCTGATTCCCCTTGTAGCAAAAAGAGACAAAAATTGCCATAACTGCTGTTTCTTTTTCTGGTTTCACTATGAGGCTAGAAGTACACAGCAAGGAACATTTTCTATGCAATTTTCCTTCTTTGTTTTTCATGATCGGTTAATGGGTATTGCAAGGGAAGCAGCCGCAAGAAATGTGGCCAGAAAAATGTGGGTTATGCCTATTTATCATCTTCTGTGCATTGTTTGTGGCCTTGTTAATTTGTTCAGAGTGTTGCTGCCTTGCTGTTGCTCTCCATTCCTCAGCTTTTCTATGCACAATTGTCATCCTCTTCATCAACTTCTCCTCCAGGTTTGATCTCATCTTCTGTATTTTCACCTAAAACCCCCAAAAAAAAATTAAAAATTAAACAAACGTGTATCTGCCAGACTACAAAAGCATGCATGTGGGTAACTCCATTTGGCTTTACAAAAGAAATTTCATGTGAAAAGAAGAGCGGAAAACACCAAAACAGTGCTCTTTTCATCAACCAATAATTTATTCAGAAAGAACAAAAAACCAAGCTTCCAAGCATGACTGGTATCTAACTCAATTAAATACTCCAGTTCCCCATGTATTTCTAAATACTGCTACTTCACATGGGATTGCTAGTATTAAAATGTGAGGATGAAGACTTCTAGCTTTCTCTCTAATTTCTGTGAGAGTTTGGTATGTAGAAAATATATAATATTACGCAAGACACTTCAATAGAGGTGGTCCAGTCTAGAAAACAAAAAGAGAATGGTGTCCAAGAATGACGGGTGGCTCAAGGAGGAAGACAACAATAAGCTCCATCAAGCATTCCAACCAGAACCAATAAAATACAGTTTGCTAGCACTTGCGGTTCGACAATGCAGCCACTTAGTTTCCTGCTCTAAATATTTTAACACAGCAAATAAGATCTTCAGCAAAATATATCACACTAAAGTGTTTGATGACATAACAGCAAATGTGCAATATGAATTGAAATCAAAAGACTGATAATCTTCTATGTTGATTGCTAGGTCATGGCGGTTCAGGCTTATGTCTCATGTTTGAATAAAAAACAAGTTTAAATCTCATGTTTATGCACTTGCATTTCCATTGCCATGCAAAACCAATAATTGGTTAAAGAACAAAAACCTGCTGGGATAAGAGCCCACCACGGAAAAAAGAAATGATGACAAAAGTACCTCAAGCTTTCTTGACTGAGCTTCTGCTTTTGCACTTTGGAGGTTGACCCAGGCTTGGATTTTGGCTTCTTCTCTCTGATACCTGCACATTCAAAATGCATTTAAAACCAAATCTATCATTTGAAACAATATGTGGTCAAACTTAGTAATCCAATTACCTAAGGCAGCATTTGTTGTTTTCATCCTCTTCCCAGGCAGCAGCTCTAGATTCAGAAATACTTTCTCGGCATGGATGGCTTGTTTCGAAATGTCTCAAGCTCTTTGATATTTCCACTTCCTCCTCTTCCCTTGAGTTCCAATTCGATGCAGTTGAATCATATTGTGTCCCAAGGCACTCCTGCAACTGGGCAATGTCAATGGTGTTATTAGTGCTGCTAGAGTACCCAAAAGCCAATGGCCCTGACCGATTTGCAGGCGTATTATGGCGGGCGGGCGATGAGCACTTGAATGGTGTGTGGCACCTTGAAGTTGTTGAACTGCCAAGAGGCGTCATCTCTGTCCCAACATCTCGATGTTGTAGATGATGAACCTCTTCTGTGCCTGCATCTTTCATGGTTTCACAAGCTGAGTTTTTGAATAGAAAGCCTTCTTTGGTTGGCTCCAAGTACCTGGAATTGGGCAAAACTGGTTCTATATCGTCCACGAACTTATCTACACAAACAAAAATTTCAGTTGTTGAAAACAAAACTC